TTTATCGAGATCGGTTCAGATTTGGATATAGCTCCCATATATAACTTCGTCCGATTTAATTTTTATTGTGCACCAAACGTCTAATATTTGCCCAAATGGGACGGAATTTGGCATATACGACTGAATTGAGTCTAGAAGCTAGTATGCCAAAGTTGGCGAAGATCGGTTCAGATATAACTATAGCTCCCTGTATATATTGTTCATCCGATTTGTTATTTTTGTCCTCCGCAGCCGTTATATGCACTCTATAACAACAATATTTGGGGAAATATATCAAACACAGCTCAGAAATACCTTTGCCAAATTTTATCGAGAACGGTTCAGATTTGGATACATATCCCATATATAACTTCGTCCGATTTGCTTTTTTTTGTGCACCAAACGTCTAATATTTGTCCAAATGGGACGGAATTTGGCACATACGACTGAATTGAGTCTAGAAGCTAGTATGCAAAATTTAGCGAAGATCGGTTTAGATATAGCTATAGCTCCCATATATACTGTTCATCCGATTTGTTATATTTGTTAACCACAGCCGTAATATGCACTCCGTAACAACGATATTCAGGGAAATACATAAAATACAGCTCAGAAATATATTTGCAAAATTTTATCGCGATCGGCTCAGATTTGGATATAGCTCCCATATATATCTTTATCTGATTTCAAATTACTTTTGCAGCAAATGGGCAATACAAGTCCGAATTTAAAAGATACGAATGCTTCGACCTTTTAAGTCCTTTGAACTTTGAACTTTAAATTATAATCATAATCATAGCGCGGATGATTGAATTCTCCCATAAAAACTTTTAATTGTTATGTGGAGATCTACTAAATTAGCAAAGTGGTGTAGGGCCCCGCCCGACTTTAGGACTTTCTTTACTGTAAATTTGAGGTAAGATTCCTCGGAATCTATGCATTTTAGGTATATAGTGTCCATGACAATATTGCGGTCAAAAATCCGAAGAATATTTTGGCAAAGCAAGTTAACCCTCAGTGAAGTCACTAAAGGGGTCTTTTAGGTCATTTTCTTCAAAAACTTCAAAAAAACTCCATTAATTTGAGATTGTATGAGATTAAAAATAGTCAAAATTACTGCATATCTCAGAATACACCAAAACTACAAAACTGATCAAAAACTGGAATTTTGTAAAAATCAAAAACACGTTTTAGGGTTAAAGTCACACTCTATCTGAGTTTGAAAAAAATAATTCTATACGACAAAATTAATTTTTTTTTAAATTACCGGGAAAATCCAGCAAATTACGACAGTAGAGCTAAAAACAAGTAAGAAAACAGTAAGTTCGGCCGGGCCGAACTTCAAATACCCTCCACCTTTCGGAACAAATTTGGAAATTTTCAAAAAATAACATCTGCGAAAAATTCAGCTTACATTTTAAAAATACCGAAAATAGCCGCTATATTGTGGTCTAGACAAAGATGTGGACCTACATGGGCAACTTTTGTCATAAGTCATTACAGTATTCAAATACGAAAATTGAAAAAAAAAATCGGTGATTAATGTCGCTAAAATCATCAAACTACCGAATATAAGGAGGTACTGATATATGGAGCCTAAACGAAGATGTGGATCAGCACAGACAATTTTCTGTCATATGCTGTAGTATCCATTACGAACATAAAATAGCAAATTTGAAATATTTCCGGTGAATAATGTCACTTAAATCACCAAAATACCGAAAATAGGGAGGTACCATAATATGGGGGCTATACGTGGCCAAAACGTGGATCTACATGACCCATTGTCAATACCATTAGAGTAAAATTTTATCAATCTACTTCATTTCATTAAAAAGCTAGAGTGTTTCCACAGACGGACAGACGGACGGACATCGCTAAATCGACATAGAATTTTATGCTGATCATTCATATATGTATATGTGCAGGGTAAGATAAAAAACCTGCAACAAAGTCAAACGCCATAATTTTTATACCCTCCACCATACTATGGAGGGTATATTAACTTTGTCATTCCGTTTGTAACTCCTCGAAATACTCATGTCAGACCCAACAAAGTATATATATTCTTGACCAGCGTAAAATTCTAAGTCGATTTAGCGATGTCCGTCTGTCTGTCTGTTGTAATCACGCTATCTTTCGAATGAATTGAGATAGATGGCTAACATTTTGCACACATGTTTATTTTTCCAGTAGGCAGGTTAAGTTCGTAAATGGGCCATGTAGGTCCACGTTTTCATATAGCCCCCATATAACGGTACCTCCCTATATTCGGTATTTTGATGATTTTAGGGACATTTTTCACCGGCATTGTTTCAAATTTGGTATTTGAAGTTCAAAATGGATACTACACCCTAAGACAGAAAATTGTCTGTGCAGGTCCACGTCTTCGTATAGCCCCCATATAACGGTACCTCCCTATATTCGGTATTTTGATGATTTTAGCGACATTATTCACCGGAATTGTTTCAAAATTGGTATTTGAAGTTCGTTATAGGAACTACAGTCTGTGACAGAAAATTGTCTGTGCGGGTCCAGGTCTTCGTATAGCCTCCTATAACAGTACCTCCCCATATTCGGTATTTTGACGATTTTAGGAACAATACCCAGAAATTGTTTGAAATGTGGTATTTCAAGTTCGTAATGGATGCTACAGCCTGTAACAGAAAACTATCTATGCTGGTCCAGGTCTTTGCACAGCTCCAATTTAACGGCACCTCCTTATATACGATATTTTGATGATTTTAGCTACATTATTCACCGTTTATTTCAAGTTTCGAATTTGAATATGGTAATGGCTTATGACAAACAATGCCTATGTATGTCCACGTCGTATAGACCCCAATATAACGGCTATATTCGGTATTTTTAAAATTTTAACAGAATTTTTTAATGATTTTATTTTTTAAAAATTTCCAAATTCGTTGCAAATGGTGGAGGGTATTAAAAGTTCGGCCCGGCCGAACTTAGTGCTTTTTAACTTGTTATAATTTTTTTTTTTAAATTTTATTAAATGAAAAAAATGTCGGAAATAACATCAAATTTTAGAATAATTTTAGATTTATTCGAATTGGTAACCTTTGGCACGAATTATGGCCTTCAAATGGCCAATGAAATTGTCACACGCTGCCCGAATGATGCTCTGCGGTATTTTGACCCCTTCCCGGCGAAGGGCTTGCTTGAGGTGATCGACACTTTGGTATTTTTTAGTGTCAACCTTGCTTTCCAAAATACTCCAGACACAATAGTCCAACGGATTGGTATCCAAAGATTTTGGTGGCCATTGTGCGCTGGAAATGAAGCGAGTAACCTCATTTTGTAACCATTCTTGGGTGGCGCGTGCTGAGTGCGATGGTGCTGAGTCCTGTTGAAATGTCCAAGGTCTGCGACCAAAATGTTTGCGTGCCCAAGGCTTTAATACACCCTCCAGAATATTTTCGGCATTTTTTCTGATGCCATGGTTGATAAATAAGAGCGGAGGGTGACAATCTGCTGTTATGGCAGCCCACACCTTTTTTTTTGGAATTTCAATGGCTTTACCCCGGGTTTATTTTTCAATATTTGCCGAATGCAGTATTGCGATATGTTCAGCTCACGAGCCATTTTTCGGCCTCTGCGACGAGGGCTTCGATCAATTCGCTTCTTTACTATTCGAACCATTTTTGCAGATGTTGTTGTTTACTTCCGTCCACTTCCTTCACGTCGGGCTACGCTACCAGTATTACGGTAACGAGCGATTGTATGAGACACAAACGATTTATTCACCTTTAAATGCTGGAGTGCTCTAACGACACTATCACGCTTGAATTCCATCGCAAATAACTTTTTTTCTGGAAAATTCTCACCAAAATGCTTTTGTACGCTTGTAAACAATATAATGAGCTGTCACTGGAGTAATTTTAACAGCTTTCGGATGAGTGGCTTAGAAATGGCAGCAGTCTGAAGTTGGTTGCAGTTTTTTTCATCTCACAGGTCTCCCATAAGTTGGAGACATTTCACAGCTATCCTATAAATTGGAGAACTTTTACAGGTTTCCTATAATTTGGATACCTTTTACAGGTCTCGAATAGAATGGAGACATTTCAAAGACCTCCCATTAATTGAAGACCTTTCACAGGATTGGAAACATTTCACAGGTCTCATTCAGATCGGGGTTGCAGTTTTTTCATGTCACCCTCACATTTGTTAAACTATAAACTAATATTTCGAACATATTCCTGTTGTTAACTTGATGTCCTTACAATGTAGTTTCGAAATGTCTTGTAAAAAAATTCCCACTGATTATCCAAATGTTATCGCAATTTTTTTTTTCATCTAAATTTCAAAATTCCTTGAATACTTTGCTTATCCATCGAAATCAGTCGGAATCTCTTATACCTCCAAAAGTTATTTCCAATTTTCTAATCGAATACCAAACCCATCATACCATTTTCCCCTTTGTAGGGCCACCAACAAAACATCTTCCCACCTACACCTGTCATAGATCCACTTATTGGCCAAACAAAAAGAGAAAAGAAAAGGCAAATGTCATGGAAATGTAGAAAAATATTTGAAATATTGTTGCTGTCTTTCAAGAGAAAAAAAAACAAATCTTAAAAAGAATTATGAAAAGAGGTTGGCTGAATTATTTAAATGTCTTGACCCCTACCACCCGCAAACCCAACCCATGCCAATACCCCAGCTTACATGTGTATTCCAAATGTTGGCACATCCGTTTCCGTTCATGGTTATTTTGGTTTTCTTTGAGATTTTCTCTCTCTTTCTCTCTCTCTCTCTCTCCCCGCTCTTTATTTGTTTGAGATTATGCCTTCAAGGGTCCGGTTTTGTGGTATTGTGTGTGTGTGTGATAAATTGACTTCCTTTCGTTCTACCGGTTAATAAACAAATTCATTTTTTCTTTGTGTTTGTATTTATTTTTAGGATATTTAGGTTTTTGTTGTTAAGTTGATGTTTTTGTTGTTACGTTTATGAAATATTAATAATGTATTTATTGCTGTGATTTTTTTTCTGTCTCTTTTTAGGTCGCCTGAGTTTCTTCAATTTCACCGGAGATTTCTCTGTCCGCGTGGACACAACCTCAGCATGGCTGGGCCAATTGTTTGTATCGCTGTCACAATTTGGCTGCCAGCAGAATTTCATGCAGCGTTATGTGAGCCTAAAGTCGTTGAATGAAGTTAAGCGGTAAGTTGGACTTAAGGGGAGGGGATAACAATCATAAAAAAAGGATTGGAGACTTTTCATAGGGTTCTACAGATTGGAGATTTATCATGGGTCTCCAATAGATTGGACATCTTTCAAAGATCTCCAATAAATTGGAAAGCTTTCACAGTTCTCCAATGGACAGGAAAACATTCACAGGTCTCCAATAAATTGGAGACTTTTCAAGGGTCTCCTATAGATTGAAGATCTTTCATCTGACCTTTCACATGTCTCCTATGGATTAGAGACTGGAATCCTTTTTAAGATCTCCATAAATAGAAGACCTTTCACAGGTCTCCAATTGATTGGAGACCTTTCATAAATCTCCAATAAGTTGAAGACCTTTCACAGGTTTCCTATAGATTGGAGATATTTCACGGGTCTCCAATAGATTGGAGACTTTCACAGGTCTCCTTTAAATTGGAGACCTCTCAGAGATCTTTCCGAGGTCTCCTATAGATTGGAGACCTTTCACACGTCTCCAGTATAAATTAGAGACCTTTCAGAGGTCTCCTATAGATTGGAGACATTTCACAGGTCTCCAATAGATTAGAGACATTTTACAAGTCTTCAATAGATTAGAGACCTTTCACAGGTCTCTTATAGATTGGAGGTCTTCCATAAATTGGAGACATTTTCCAGATCTGCTATAAATTGGAGACATTTTACCGGTATCCAATGGATTGGAGACCTTTCACAGGTCTCCAATATAAATTAGAGACCTTTCAAAGGTCTCCTATAGATTGGAGACATTTCACAAGTCTCCAATAGATTAGAGACCTTTCACAGGTCTCTTATAGATTGGAGATCTATTGCCGGTCTCCTAAAAATTGGAGACATTTTCACAGGTCTCCTATAGATTGGAGATCTTTTACATGCCTGCAGGAGATTGAAGACCTTTCACAGGTCTGCAGGAGATTGGAGACCTTTTACATGCCTGCAGGAGATTGGAGACATTTCACAGGTCTCCTATAGAGTCTCTTTTCGAAGATCTCCTATAAATCGGAGACCTTTCGCTGGTATCCTATAAAATGGAGACCTTCACAGGTCTTCTATAGATTGGAGACTTTTCACAGGTCTCCTATCAAGTGGAGGCTTTTCACAGGTCTATCCTAGAATGTAGACATTTCACAGGTCTCCTATAAATTGAAGACCTTTTATAGGTCTCCTATAAATTGGAGACATTTTACAGGTTTCCAATAAATTAGAAACCTTTTACAAGTGTTCTAGATATTGGAGATTTTTTACAGGTCTACAATATATTGGAGACTACATATTGGAGACCTTTGCAGGACTCTTAAAAATTGGAGACCTTTCGCAGATCTCCTATAGAATGGAGACCTCGCACATGTGTCCAAAGATTGGATACCTTTCATAAGTCCACAATAATTTGGAGACATTTCACAGGTCTTCTATAAATTGGAGACATTTTACAGATCTGCTATAAATTGGAGACATTTCACATGTCTCTAATGGATTGGAGACTTCCGCAGGTTTCTCATAGCTTGAAGACTTTCCCAAGTCCCATATAAATTGAGGACTTTCACAGCTCTCCTATAAACTGAAGACCTTTTACAAGTTTCCCATAGATTGGTACCTTTCACAAATCTCCAATATATTGGAGACCCTTCACAGGTTTCCTATAAAACGGAGACGTTTCGCATTTCTCCTACAGATCGGAGACCTTTCCCAGATTTCCAATAAGTTAGGAACCTTTGACAATAGCTTGGAGACCTTCCAAAGGGTGGGAGACTTTTCACAGGCCTATTATAGATGGGAGAAAGTTACATGGGAATCCCTTTCCCAGGTCTCGTATATAGACATGTTTCCTGATTCTTCCTTCAATAACTTCAATAATGATAATTTCTCTTTTCTCTCTCTCCCCCTCTCCCTCTCTCTCTCTCTCTTATCTCATTTCAGTGCCATGATGTCCAATATACCCATAATTTTCGTGTTCTTTTCCCTTTCCTGGATAACTGGCCTGGTTATCTATTCATCCTATGCCAGCTGTGATCCTCTGGCCGAAGGTTATATAAATAAAGCCGATGAAATTCTACCCTTCTATGTTGAGGATCAATTGGCCTTTATACCGGGTTTTGTGGGAATATTTATGGCCACTCTGTTCAATGGTGCCCTGTGGTAAGTAGCAGAACAGTTACATGCAACAGATTATGTTATCTTAATGCTTCTTCTTCGTCTTCCCTTCCATGACCAGCATGATGGTGTCCAATTTGAATTCCATGGCCACCGTAATATGGGAGGACTTTTTGACATTGATACCGAAATTCAAAAATCTCAGTGACCGCCAGCAGTTGAGTTTGATCAAAACGGTTACCGTTATATGTGGCATACTCATTATGGGCGTGGCATTTGGGGTGGGCCTACTATCCGGTGTGATTGAATCATCAATGATGGCATTTTCGGCAACATCCGGTCCATTGTTGGGTTGCTTTATACTGGCCATGTTGGTGCCCATTGCCAATTGGAAGGTAAGTTGGCGTCTTCGAAGGCGTTGGTGCTAAAAAGGGTGGAATGGGGTGGAAGTGTTGCTTTCCTTATTTATACATTTATCCATTGTTTGCTGTGTCGTTTACCGGCCGACCGCTCAAATGATATTGCCAATTACCTGTGTTGCCAATACATACACACGTCGTGACACACACAGACACACACACGCCTACACTCATCTCATACTAATAACAATTTCCGTTTATTTGTTAAAGGGTACTTCCGCTGGCATGATAACGGCCTGTGCCTTCGTCCTGTGGATCATTGGCGGCGCCGCAACCATCGATAAATCGGAAAGCAATAAATTTTTGCCAACATCAACAGAGGTTTGTTAATGAACGCAAATAAAAGACAATACATACAAACACATACATATATACACAAAGATGTAGAGATAAGTTTGTATGTGTGTGATTGTGAGTGTATTTGTAAATTGATTATTGGGTGTGTGATTTTTATATTTCACTTATACATATATATAGTCTCATATTTTTAAGGTATTGTATGCTCTTGATCAGCACGAAATTCTAGGCCAATATGGGTATGACGGCCCCTCTGTACGTCTGTCTACATGACATGCATGTATGCCTTCGATACGCGTTACTCTCTCTACACACTCAACTAGAATCAAATGTAATGTGGTCAAAGAGTAACAAAATTGAGAGAACAGAAGAGTGTGACTCTCTGACCCGCCCTGATCTAAATTCTATTCTAAAGAGAGAGAGATAATTAACGCCCCGACGAAATGGCTGAAGATAGAGTGTTGAATTTTTGCACCAGGGTAAGTTTTGGTGCGTAGGCGTGTGATGGCTTTTTTGGAAATTCGTACTAAAAGGGTACGAAGAGTACTAAAAATTTAAAACTTTGTGTTAATTTAAAACTTTGTGTTAGACAAAGAGAATTCGCTACAATTCTAAAATTTAGAATTAGAATCACTGATACAGTGCAGGATAGATGTATCAAAGGGTTTTTGAAAATTCGAACTTTGAAGTTACGAAAAATTGTAAAATGGTACTATTTTATAGAAGTTTAGTACCATTTTAGATCTTTTCGTAACCTTAAAGTGCGAATTTCCAACGACCCTTTGATTATGTTAACGGATAGAGCTAAAAACTTGAAATTCGGTATGAGAATCAAGGTTGGAAAGTAAGTTTGATTTTTGGAAATGTGTACTAACGGTGCGAACTGTACTAAATGGTACCAAATTTGGAACAGTTTGGTTTAGGGTGAACAGATGAAACTGGAATTTTAAAATTTTGTATTGGGTAAGAAGGGTGTAGGTTAGTGATAAGTAGGTGGTTTTGAATATGTGTGCTACAAATTCACGAAAAGTAATAAATAGTACTATTTTTGGTACAATTTTGTATCGGATGAACAAACAGTGCTTAAAATCTGAAATATTGATTTAGGATCGCTGTTCGTGTGTACCCTGGACATATTACATAGGTAGTTTGAGATATGTGTACTATAATTGTACGAAAAGTACCAAATGGTACGAAATTTGGTATTGGGTGAAGGAATAGAGCTGGAAACTCGAAATTTAAAATTTAGAACTTTTTTAATATCTGGGATTGAGATATGGAGTTGGTTGTGCAAACATGTACTACATTTGTACCAAAAGTACAAAATGGTACTAAATTTGGTATTGAATGAAGGCATAGAGGAATCGCCAAATTCGATATTGAGGTCTCTGGTGTCTGGGATGTAGATTTTAGAAATGTGTACTATATTTGTACGAAAAGTACTAAATTGTATTAAATTTGGTACTGGGTGAAGGAATAGGAATCCTCAAATTTGATATTGAGATCTGTATCTGGTATCTGAGGTTGGGAGTAGGAGATATGTTTGGAAATGAGTACAGTAGTTGTTCGAAAAGTACTAAATGGTACCAAATTTGGTATCGGGTGAAGGAATACAGCTGAAATTCTCAAATTTGATATTGAGTTCTCTTCTGATATCTGAAATTAAGATATGGAGGTGATTGTGCAAATGTGTACTATAATTTTACGAGAAGTACTAAATAGTACCACATTTGATACAAGTTGATATTGCGTGAAAAGATAGTGATTAAAATCTCAAATTAGGATTTTGAGTCGCTGTTCATGTGTAGCCAGGACATTGGGATTTGGTTTGGGATATGTGCACCATAATTGTACGAAAAGTACTAAATGGTACTAAATTTGGTATTAGTTAAAGTAATAGAGATAAAAATCTGAAATTTCATATTTATATTACTGGTGGTATCTGTATCTTAGATTTTGCTGTGGTTTGGTACTGGGTCCTATATTTGTACAAAAGTTACTAAATTTGGTATTGGGTGAAGGAATGGAGCTGAAATTCCAAAATTTCATATTAAGGTATCTGTTATGTTGAGTCTCTGTATCTAGAATTAAAATATGTAGGTGGCTTTGGAAATATCTACCATATTTGTACCAAAATTACTAAATGGTACTAAATTTGGTATTGGTTGAAGTGATAGGGTTGAAATCCTGGCATTTGATATTGAGGTCTTTAACGGTATCTGGGATTGAGATAGGTTTTTGATCTGCATAGAATCACATTCTGAGCCGATTTATGCATGTCCGTCCGTCTGTCCGTCCGTCCGTCTGTCCATGTATTTTTGTAAACAAAATACAGTTCGCATTTATTGTCCGATCCAGATGAAATTTTGCACAAATCATTTGTTTGGCCCAAGGACGAACCCTGTTGAAATTGGAGACAATCGGTAAAAATTTAGATGTAGCTCCCATATATATCTTCGTCCGATTTGCCTTTTATTGTGCACCAAACGTGTAATATCAGCCCGAATAATATGGAATTTTGCACATATAACCAAATTACGCCTGAAAATAAGTATGCCAAATTTGATGAAAATCGGTTCAGATATAGCTACAGCTCCCAAATATATATTGTTCATCCGATTTGTTATTTTTGTCCTCCGCAGCCGTAATATGTACTCTGTAACAACAATATTTGGGGAAATATATCAAATACAGCTCAGAAATACCTTTGCTAAATTTTATCAAGATCGGTTCAGATTTGGATATAGCTCTGGATATATAACTTCGTCCGATTTACATTTTATTGTGCACCAAACGTCTAATATTTGTCCAAATGGGATAGAATTTGGCACTTACGACAAAATTGAGTCTAGAAGCTATTATGTCAAAGTTGGTGAAGATCGGTTCAGATATAGCTATAGCTCCCATATATATTGTTCATCCGATTTGTTGTATTTGTTACCCACAGCCGTAATATGCACTCCGTAACAACGATATTCAGAGAAATATATCAACTACAGCTCGGAAATATCTTTGCAAATTTTATCGATATCGTTTCAGATTTAGATATAGCTCCCATAAATACCTTTATCCGATTTCAAATTAATTGTGCGCCAAATGGGCAATACAAGTCCGAATTTAAAGGAGGCAAAGGCTTCGGCATATTTAGTCCTTTCAACTTTAAATTATAGTCATAGCGTGTATGATTGAATTCTCCCATAAAAACTTTTAATTGTTATGTGGAGCTCTACTTAATTAGCAAACTGGTGTAGAGTATCATAAAGTCGGCCCAGCCCGACTTTAAGACTTTCTTTACTTGTCAGAGTCTTGGAGTATATGAAATAATTTCCTGAAATCAAACTATCGAATTTTCTCACCTCATATCTCAGATATTTTGATTTAATCAACAAAATCATACACTCAATAGCGAAAATTCTCATAATTAAACAAGCACACACACTCACAATTTATCAATTGTAATTTAAGGAAACTACTGTTAGTGTTTACTCAACTACGACTGTGTGTGAGTGCGTTTGTTTATCTTGAATGTTTCTTCCTCTCTCACTCCCTCTCTCTCTCTCTGTCTATAGGGCTGCTCAAATTTCACATTTTCACAATCGATACACAAGCCTACAAGCGATGAGTACTCCTTCCTGCCAACTCAATCATCCTGGCTAATGCAGCACACGCCGGTCATGCCTCTAGATGGCAGTGGCAACAACAACAACGACAACAACATCATCAATGGTTATGGTAGTGTTAACAGCAATTACGTGATGCTAAACGATACTCTGCTGGCAATGGTGGCAAATCTCTCAACGACAGCAGCAACAGCAGCAACAACAACGGCAGCTGTCGAAGAACGGTAATAAAATCACTTTGTATTTCTTTCCTTTCCTTTGCTTTGCTAACAGACTAAAGGTTGAGTCAGTCACACAAAACCAAAAAAAAAGAAAAATAGAAACTACAAAATACCAGCTAGGATAACTAGCCAGGGCCAACACAGACAACCAAACTGACAGGCTGTTGATATCACCAACAAATTGCCTGGGCATTGCAATGTTGCCTTTCCGTGATGGTTGGTTGTATGGCTCATTGCCTACTGTCAGTTGTCAATGTTGTGGTGGCCTGCCACAACAGAAATATATTCCATGTCTCTTTGCTGATCTGTATCTTTGTTTGTTTTTTTTTCGTCTCTCTCTCCCCCCCTTTCTAGGACACCACTGCAGCACATGTACTCCATTAGCTATATGTATTACAGTCTCATAGGCACAGCGCTGACTGTGCTGATTGGTTATATAGCCAGTTATTTGACACAGGACCCCAAGGACGCTTACGATGCGAAATTACTGCATCCGGCTGTGTTGCGTTTGTACGAACGTTTCTGGAGCGGCAGTAAGCCGTACTATATCAAAGATGTCAATAATACAATCGTTACCGTGCTTGGCTCCAATGGCAGTGTTTCAGTATTTCAAGCAGCAGCAGCAGCACAAGGAGGAGGCAGCGGATCGTTGGATGGTGGTGTTGACTCTGCTGCCGCATCTGCGGATGTTGGTAATGGTAATAGTGGTGCCAAAATTAATCACGCTTTTGAGCCACAAAATGAAGCCAATATTATAATTGGTGCTGACAACAGTGGCAATGGTGAGGGGAAGGGTAAAAATCCCATGGATGTGATTTTCATCAAGTCGTTACCGGCTGCATCATCGCCACCAAAAACCTCAACACTTCAACAAAATCCCGCCCAAACAACAGTGACAACAACAACGACGAGTATGACAAATGTCAATAATGACGCTGGCGTCAATGTTGACAGCGTAACATTAGAAATGCCAAAAACACAAAATACCTCCTCCAGCCACCTGCCCAGTGTTGAACGCAATCAATTCAATGCCAGTCATCAGCACAACAATACCAAGGAAAATGTTTGATTATGCCTCCAGATCGAACATGCCACATTTGCCTCCATTTACATACAAAAAAAATACCTTTGCCTTGGCAGAGCTGACCTGCATCGAAGCATTATGGCAGGTTCCTTTTGTGACTTAATTGATATTTACTTAATATGATATTTTTTTTCTTCCTTTTTTTTGTAATAAGTTTAAAATACAACCACAACAACAACAAACTATTATTTTATTAGAATCCCAATCTCCATATAGATCTAGATAAGAATTTAATTTATTCCATAGGTAAATTAAACAAAAAAAGAAAAACTATTATTATTAATATAATGAAAGTCTATAGAGCATAAGACAACAATTAAAAAAATGCATGCACTGAGAGAAAAACAAAAACAAATTGAAATGACATGAAACAGAGTTAAAAAAAGAAAATAATATTTTTTGTAAGAAAAAAAATTAAAAAAAAATAAAAAAATAAAACAATTGGACTAAGAATATAAAAATTGTATTATTTTTTTAATAGTTCAAATGGGTAAGTTGTAAAAAATACTATTAATGTTTTTCAAAAGGTCATTATTATTTTTTGAAAAAAAAAAAAAGAATCGGAAAAAACAAAACAATTGGACAAAGAACATACAACTTTTATTATTGCAAAAGTACTTCAAACGAGTAAGTTCTATTAAATACTATTAATATTTTTTAAAAGGCAATTATTTCGGGGATATTATAAATTATAATTAAATATTTATTTGCTTCTAGAAAAAATCACTTGATAATTTAAATGAAGTATGAACTTTTATTTATTTATTTTTTTGCCGTACAATTTTAGAGAAGAAAAAATTTGGGAAATGGATTTTTACACCCTCAGCCAAATGTCTAGAGAGGCTATATATCATTTGATACGGGCAAAACGTTTTAAAACCTAGGTCTCTTTGGACCAAATTCGTTTTAGGACATTTGGAGTCGATCTAGCGATGTCCGTCCGTCTGTCTGGCTGGTGCGCACGATAACTCTCGAAGGGAGTATCCGATATCCAAACTTGGTACATCGTAATATTAAATTTGAAATTTCTTGAAATTTCTCACATCTCAAAAATTTTATTAACCCAAGGTCTGGTATACTCCTTCTGGTACCTCCCCCACAAAAGGTCGAAATTTTCAAAAAATATATTTTCTGCACAGAAAGAGAAACAGTCATTCGATTTTGCTCAAACTATGCAAATGCTTATATTTACATCAGTTCTAGGTCAGGTGTGAAAATGGACAATATCGGTCCACTACATCAGGTACCACCCCCACAAAGGGTCAAATTTTTGAATAATTACAACTCTTATAAAATGTGATGTAAGAGTCCGATTGTCTTCAAATTTCGCACAATAATTTTATTAACCCAAGTTCTGGTGTTAATATGGAATATATCGGTCAACTACTTCTGGTACCTCCCACACAAAAGGTCGAAATCCCCTAAAGGGGGTCACAATTTTGAATATCCATAAAAGTCATACAACGCGAAATAAGCATTAGGTTATCATTATATTTCACACATCCCATTATTTCTACAAACACAATATCTTATGCGAAGATGGAATACATCGGTCCACTCCTTCTGGTACCTCCCCCACAAAAACTCAATATTTGGAATATCCATGAAGCTCATAGAAGCAAAATTAAAATCCAATACCATTCAGACTTTGTACATCGCATTATTTCCATCAACACAAGATCTGTTATAAAGATAAACACAACGCTCCAGAAAAGCTTAATAAGCCTCCAACTCCTTGCTAACGCAGGATCTGTTGTGAAGATGATATACAGGGCGAGATAAAAAAACTGCAACAAAGTCAAACGCCATAATTTTCACTTTTTTTTAAATTTTATTGAATGAAATCAAAAAATATCGGAAATAGCATCAAATTTTAGAATAAGTTTAAATTTGGTCGAATTGGTATCCTTTGGCACGAATTATGACCTTCAAACGGCCAAAGAAACCGTTACACGCTGCCCGCATGTTGCTCTGCGGTATTTTGGCCCATTCCCGGCGAAGATCTGGCTTGAGGTGATCGACACTATGGTATTTTAAAGTGGCAACCTTGCTTTCCAAAATACTCCAGACACAATAGTCCAACGGATTCGTATCCGGAGATTTTCGTGGCCATTGAGTGCTAGAAATGAAGCGATGAACCTCATTTTGTAACCATTCTTGGGTGGCGCGTGCTGAGAGCAATGGTGCTGAGTCCAGTTGGAATGTCCAAGGTCTGCGGCCGAAATGCTTGCGTGACCAAAGCTTTAATACACCCTCCAGAATATGTTCGATATAATATACGGCATTTATTCTGATGCCATGGTCGATTAATGCAAGCGGAGAGCGACCATCGTCTGTTTTGGCTTGAGTTCTGATGGCCAACCGAAAGTGCACATTTTCAGCTGACCTATTTGACAAGTAAACACGATCATTTTGTTTGTTTACAAACTGCTAGGCAAGGAATGTTTTCTCATCGGAAAAAAACCAAATTCGGCAGTTCGCACCTTTCGGCCAAGCTAAGCAACTCTGCAGCTCTTTTGAGCCTATTTTTCTACGTTGCGGTGTAAGTTCCTCCACCTTTTGGAATTTCAATGGCATTACCCCGAGCTCATTTGGAATATTTTCCGAATAGAATATAGCGATATGTTCAGCTTACGAGCTATTTTTCGGCCACTGCAACGTGAGTTTCGATCAAGTCGCTTCTTTACTTTTCGAACCATTTCTGCTTTCTTCCGTCCACTTCCTCGACGTCGGACTACGCTACCAGTATCACGGTAACGAGCGATGGTACGAGACACAAAAGATTTATTCACATTTAAATGCTGGAGTGCTCTAACGATAGCCACTTGTGGTTTTCCAGCCAAATATAAAGAAATGACACTATCACGCTTGAATTTCATCACGAATAACTTTTTTTTTTGGAAAATGCTCACCAAAATGCTTTTGTAAGTTTGTAAGCAATATAATGAGCTGTCATTGGAATAATTTTAACAGCTGTCGGACGAGTGGATTAGAAATGACAGTTGTCAGAAGTTGGTTGCAGTTTTTTCATGTCCACCTGTATGATTCTTCCGATTTGGGGTTTTAAGTCCCTCGCATGCATAATATGCAACCCACAAGAATGAAATTTTGGTACCGGACATCAGATGCTCCTCAAAAATACCTCTGTCAAATTTTATCGAGGTCAGTTCAGATTAGGATATAGCTCCCATATATATCTTTATCTGATATCAGGTTTATTGTGCACCAAATGGCTAATATCAACCCAAATGGACTGAATTTTGGTAATTAAGACTGAATCCATCCCAAAAACAAGACTTGAAATTTGTTGAAAATCGGTTCAGATATAGCTATAGCTCCCATATATATGTTTTATCCGATTTGGAGATTAAAGTGCCTCACAAGCGTAATATGTATTCGACAACAATGATAGTTGGTACTAGATATCAGATAGAACCCAGAAATACCTCTGCCAAATTGTATCAAGATCGGATCAGATTTGGATATAGCTCCCATATATATCTTCAACCGATCTCAGGGTTTTTGTGCACCAAATGGCTAATATCAGCCCAAATGACCTGAATTTTGGCTTATCTGACCGAATTCAGTCTAGAAGCAAGTACATTAAATTTGGTGAAAATCGGTTCAGAAGTAGCTAAAGCACCCATGTATATGTTTCATCCGACATTCCTTTACCTAAAGAGCCACTCACTGACTTATACCACAAAAAAATCGTCATGTATTTTTGCAAAATTAATTATTGGTAGATTTGCGTCTAATATAACATTAGTCAAGAAGTTAATGTGGGTGATGTTCTCAATCGGAGATGAAAATTGAGTTATTGAAGTGGAAATAATAATATTTCAAATCGGCGTTGATCGCGGTCCATTTTAAATCATACACTTTTCATAAAAAAATCAGTTTTATTTAAAATTAACATTATCCCTTAATGGCAGATTTTCAAGCATCTACTGGTATTTATTTATTACACCTTAATTAATTCATTTTCATAACATTTTATTTATGCTTATAATTATTTCATTATCCCTTTTTACCCACATTTGCATATGGATTGGGATATAGTACTCTCCTTATTTCCGCATAAGTGCGACCATTACGTTTTCCACTTCGAGGTTTGATGGTTCCCACTTTGGTACGCTTTCTGTTGTAATAACGGAATCTGTTGTAATAATGATTCTGGTAACTGTTGTAGGGTAATCCATAATAAGGAACTGGGCCACCGTATTCCTTTAACTGTGTCAAACTATTGATCCAGTGTTTAAAAAATAGTGCGGAGCACAAATTCAAGCCGAATATTGTAAGCAATACAATTAATAAAGGACTTTTAATGAACTTCATAATGCAGAATTGTCTACGAATTTATTATGAAAATATTCTTTCACGATTTGTTGTTTTCACACCCAAGGTAACTTTGTCAAATGTTGCTTTCGTAATACAAGAAGCAATATTTAAATAGAAAGACAATTGTCTGAACAATTCCGAAAATCATTAAATTATCCGGAAATACAAAAACAATGGGCTTTTTATTACAATCTTCCCGCCACCGTAATTACCACTTCTTCGTTGTCTTTAAATTGTTGTTAATTTTTTTCATCAGAACTTTTGCACATGCCATTCGAAAGTAAGATATTCTTCATGTATTTATGTAATGTCTGGATGTTTGCAGACATCTCCGTTATGACATCTCTGAATCTTTGATTACCACACAGATAATCGTCTAGCTAGATCGTATGTAGACAGAATTTTGTGTGCGTGACTTTTTGACCAAACATAACAGTAATCCGGTGGTACCGTTGAAATTATGGGAATTACAGAAAACCATAAAGTGTAGAAAGCTCTTTACGGGTAGGCTCAAAATCGATCAAACAATTATTTCCATTGGACAGAAAATTCCATCTACCTACATTTTCTTATTAAAAACTTATGGACAAACGGATGGATGGATGATTTTTGGTTTATTTATTAAATAACTGCAAGAAATCCAAAATAACAAAAATTTGACAATTCTACTTCGTAGTCGTTTTTCGAACTTTTATAATATTATACCAAGTGATCATTTTAACAAGAGTAAAAAATATCCGTCGGTTTTGCTGACAGATGTATACCCTCAGGCAGTGTTGGATTATTTAAATATATTTTGGTGAATATTGCGATGTTCCAAGTTTGGACCAAAACCGATACTCCCTTCTAGAATTATCGTGCGCAACAGCCAGGCAGACAGACGGACGGACATCACCAGATCGACTTCAAACGCCCTAAAAAGGATTAGGTCAAAAGAGACATAGGGTCTAAAACCATTATTTCGATGAGGCACAGTTGGTCGTAATAAATTATATATACCCTCTCTATGGGTGAGGGTTTAAGTGTAAAAAAAACAAACACGAAAAAGAACAGCTAAGATCGACCGGTTCGAGATTTTAATATCGGCCAGCATTTGAACAAATTTGCAAAATAAAAAAAAAATCATCTTTCGAGTTAAGCTTATATTGGCCTATAGGAAGACAAGTTTTTTTCATAGGAGGTAGCATCCATTACAAACTCCAAATACCTAATTTGAAATAATTCCGTTGAAAAGTGTGATACAAATCATCAAAATACTGAATATCTGTGGGTACTGTTATACTGGGGGTATACGAAAACGTGGACCTCTACAACCAATTATCTACCAGTAAAGGTGATACCACTTGCGAACTCCATAAACCGAGTTTAAAATTATTCTGGTGAAAAGTGTAGCTAATAACGTCAAAATATCGAATAAAAGGAGGTATCGTTACATGAGGTCTATACGAAGACGAGAATTTGTATAGGCAATTTTCTGTCATAGGAGGAAGAACCCATAGCGAACTCCTAATAACATTTTGAACAATTCCCGTTAAAAGTGTGACACGAATCATCAAAATGTCGAATATCTGGAGGTACAGTTAAATAAATACCGAATATATTGAGATAATTGGACCTACATACAGTTCTACCCAAGAAAGGTGTCTACATGCTGGGAACTCAAAGTACCAATTTACAGTAAATTCGGGTTAAAATTGTGACTAAAACGACCAAAACGCCTTAAATTTGGCGGTACAATTGTATGGGAGCTATACCAAAACGTGGCCCTACTAATTGGCCCATTTTCAATACCAAAAGTCCGGCAGACATAAAATATATCTGAGTAAAATCAACATACTTCATTTCCTTCGGAAACTAGAGTGATTTTCATAGACGTACAGATAGACAGGCGGACGGACGTCGCTAAATTGACATAGAATCTTACGCTGATCAAAAATATATATACTTTGTGGGTTCTCAAGTTTATATTTCGATGTGTTACAAACGAAATGACAAACTTTATATAACCTACGAGGGTATATATATATATATATATATATATATATATATATATATATATATATATATATATATATATATATATATATATATATATATATATATATATATATATATATATCAGAAAATTCTAAAGGTCAACATACATCTTGTATTTCTACATAATCCAAGGACCTATTATCATGATATACATAGAAGATAGCTACAGATGTTACCTGTAAATGGTCCGAATTCACACCTAAAATGTTCTGGCAAATATTCCACTTTGGCTCTCTTCTAAAATTCCACTGTTTAACAGCTAGCAATAAGGGCCAACAAATGTTGCGACCTTTTTCCACAAATTTCTTTGTATATTTTCAATGTTGAAACAATTTGGATGGTCTAGCCACTAAGCCATTTAACTTATTGACATTCATTGCTTATTGAATCTGTGATCAGTAGGGTTGGACCTACGCAAAATCATGACGATCATTTGTTAAACACGCTGCCTCCGAATGTGGATGTTCTGAAGATAGGAGCGATTGAGGCGATCCTTATAATGTATATAACACAATTCTTAAAACGTTACAGTGTCTCAAGACCGAACATACGTAGTCCCTTGTTAGCATATATTTTCTGAAATGCTTCTTGCCTTCCGTAAACCTTGCTTTGATAGTCCTGAATTCCTTTTTTAAATGAATCGAAAACCATAGCGTATTAAAACCTAATTGCTGTAGTAGGTATTACAAATATTTTAAATTCCAATCAGTTTCTTTAGACTTCTCATATATTTCTTAGACCAAAAATGGGCGACTGTTTTATGAATTCATCTAATTTAGTTTGAAAAAGCTCCGATGTGACAGGAGTTCCGGGTGTCCACAGTGGATCCCGCACCACATATTCTACCCAAATTTTACTATAGACCTGCTGCAGCAGCTCTTTGACATTTGTGGCATTGGTGTCGGTGTTCAAGACAAATCTGAAAATACAATAAAATGAGAATACAGATAAAGATCATATGTCCATCAACTTACTTTAACCCGGAAGGCGTTTCCAAATAATGTAGAGCATATTTGTTAGTCTTATAATACAGAAATCCCTCCCTTGGGTCATGGGGTGAAAGTTTATTTACAAAGGATTTAATGGACGACAACATGCCATAGGTGAGCTTGGCTTCCTGTGGGAAATTAAACATGTATTTATTTACTCTACATGTATTAATTTTAGCTGTGAAATGTTTTCCTTACCTCCTCTTGTGTTAACCCCGATTTCTTAGTACGATTCCATTCGGCATAGTACATCAGGGTGCCATATTTATCAAATATATATAAATTAAATACTTTCATTTGGATAATTTGATTGTTTTATATTTGTAATATAATGTTTCAAATATTAATTGTTTTTCAATTGAAGTAAAAGTTCTGTGAAATTTCCCAGTAACTTTTTCTCTTCTTCTTCTAGATACAAATGAAAATCACTTTGGAGTGATAACACAAAACAGCTGTTAAAGGCAATCAACTTCCATGAATTGTGCTGTTTACCAAATCTGCCAATATCAGAGATGGTATAAAATTATTTTTAATATTCATGTATTGCCGAAGACTTTTATAGGCTTTTATACCTTTTATGGGAACTTATGGGGCAGCCAGTATTCAACGTGGAGAAAATCTGGCATCTGAATGACATAAATGTTAACAACAAGGAATAGTGAATGGGCCCTAAGCGAAAACTATTTTTTGTATAAATCGTCGTATATGACATAAACATAGATATCACAAAGATCATCTCCATGCCTCTTATCTGTATATATATTTTTAAAGATAAAGACTTTTTCGTCGCTATAATCACTTGTTTTTAAATCCTTGTCATTGTTAAAACAACAACCAGAGGAATATGTATGATGAGCGATTCTAACTCACAATTGACGCATCCATGTAGCCAGAGTACAAAAAAGTACCCAATTTCCATAATTTTTACTTAATATAATGTTCATCACTGATCAACGAAAGTCGACCTAGTTACCCCTACTGTGGAATGTTTTTGTTTATTATTTAGCAAAAAAAGACGGGGATTTTTCGCATTTACGCGATGACTCTTTGGCCCACATACTGCAAAAGATATTGCAAATAATTCTTAGATCGCAAAAACATACATTGGTGGTGTTGACAAAAAAGTAGATAAAAAAGAATCCCCATTGGAATTAGTCAGAATTTCGTTGACGAAATGGCTACATTGGAAAAACCAAAGAAAAATGTAAGATTTCAGATTTCTTTGTTAACTTGATTTTGCTTATATAGAAAACTTATTAATTTTTCTCCTACAAAGAAATCGAAAAAGCAAAAACCCAAGGAAGTTGCCCCGGTACCAATAGACGACGATGATGATGGTGAAAATGAGGAGGAACACAATGTGGAAGAGCAGTTAAAAACTGATGTCGAGAAACTGGAAATAAATGCAGCTGATAATGACATTGCAACGGGGGAGGAGGTTCAAAAGTCTATCAGCAGCAGTGCGGGAATTAAAAGCATGGAAAACATTGTTGCGGCTTCGGCAAATGCAACAATTGATAGTATAGTAACACAGGAGTGTTTTATATCTTCCGATTACAAAGAACCGGACAACAAAGATAATGTTGAGACTGTTATCAAAGATACCGATGGGGAAATTGTGTGCGAGGCCAGTGAAGATAGGGAGATATGTATTGAAGCGGCTAGTGCCCCCTTATCTACAAATGAAGAGCATATAATTGCCACTGAACCCTCAGCGCCACCCGCCTTAAGCTCAAGTTCACCCCAAACCACATCGTTTCCTCAAGAACATTTGATGACTGCGACCACATCTAATATTGCTCAATATCCTCAAATACAAACACTGAGACATGAAGAAGCAATAACCGAAATAGTTTACAAACCACCTAAAATACGGTCTCCTGGTTTTCGTCTATCTGCCAGTAGACTAGAAGCTTTATCCCATGACCAATTAAAACAATACTACCATTGTCCGGAATTAACAATGGTACAACAATTCGAAATGGAATTTCTTACAAATTCCCTATTGGAGACACACGAACAAGATCCACTCTATGCTGCTCTACAAGAATATTACAATTTGCAGAGCAAACTAACAATGAACCTACATGATGTCAAAAAATTCCGCAAAGAGGCGGCAGCAGCTCAAGAGCATATCTGGGTGGAAGTTCCCATTATGAAAACATTTTCCGAAAAGTGTGGTGACAGGGTGGAAGTGCGTGAAACTGTTACCTACAAGTAAGGAGTTTTGTAATAGATTTTAAAGGAAATGAAACGAATATCCGTTTTATTTCAGCATTGTACAGGTTGATGGTAAGAACTTGGAGGCCGCCACATCTGCCCTTACCGTCTTGTTTGATATAATTTCCAATACATATACCAGTAACTTGATTACAACCAAAATCACCAAAATTAAGGTAAACTTGTTTAGGAATCACAAAAAGTTACTAATTCTAAATATTTTTATTGTTTATAGATTGATCAAATGATTGATGAAATCATCATATTTCAAAATAGAAGTCATGATCATTTATTGGAGGGACCCCTTAAATTGCACCCCCATTTAGATAACTATTCTTTGCAAATCATATCACAAATAAGAAGAGCCCTAAGCATACTCTTCCATTTTTCAAGGAAATTGTCACCAAACAAGGTAATTTCCTCGATAAAATATTGTGTCTTCTTTATTAATAGGGTATTTTTCCTTTCCCCCAGGACTTTGCTAAAGATCTCAAATCTTGGTTTCAAAAACTTATTTCATTGCATTTACGTTTGGCAACCAAAGAAGATCATTGGTTTTTGTTATTCAACATACTACGTTGTCCGAGTGGAGTTGGTGCCTGGGCAAGTGAATATTTGCAAATACCTTGTAATACCAAAGCTTTAACACCTATTGCCTCAACTCCTACGGCCCATACAAATGAAGTTCCCCTACAATTAAATTCACCCGAAATTGCCCACTGTATGTCGGTTTTACAAGTCCTGTTACTGCCGATTAAAAAACGTAATGAATACTTAAAACAATTTACCCAGGTAGGTCTATGAAATACAACATTTAGAGAAGAGATGATTTTAAGCTAACATTTAAAAAGTCTCAAAAGGAAATAACCGATCCAGCTAAGGAAGAACGTTGGATTCTCATCGATTCGGATGGCGAGGATAGTCACACAGCATCGGGGGATTGTGTGGGTCTTAAGGAGAGTGACTTGATTGCCCTGCTCAACCAAATACCATTTGAGCAATTGTTTAGGTAAGGAACTTTTAAAGAATTTTTTGATAATTTTCTAATCATCCTGTTACATTACAGATCTGCCTTGACAATAGAAAAATTCCTGGATGATTACATAATTGAGGTGGATTTAATATCGGCCCAACAAATGCTTAAAGTATTGGCATTCTTTTCACAACTCATTACCTTGTTCGGCGAGGGTATGCTGACATATAGCACAGAACGTTATAAACAATTGGCCAAACGTTTGGGCCGCCTAATGCGCCACTCGTTGCAATATGTTTCGGATTATTATGAACTTTTCAAGTAAATCAAAAATTTATATTTAAATTGGAATTTTTGAAAATATTTCGCTTAATTTTCAGACAAAATAATCTTTCAAAAGATGTGGCGGTTTGTGAACGTATTGCTTTGGAAAACAATGCTTTACTATTGAAGGCCTGTAGTTATATATATCGAACTCGCAATTTGGCCACATGGCAATATTTTTCATCTCTGCCATTTTCTTCCATGGAGGCGGAAATTGTGTGGCAAATATTTTACTACTTAAATGTTGGTTTCCCAGCCGAGTTTTCGCTGCCCGAAGAAGGTAAGGACTATACAAATACGAAAAATTAATAATGTGCGTTAGTAAAAATATTTGGATGTGTAAATTTTGAAGAAAGTTGGATTCTTATCTTGCTTTCTTTGAGCGTTTGGTTTTTCAAAAATCTTGAACCCGTGTGGGGGAGATACCAGAAGAAATGTTCCGATCGGTACGAACTTTATTATAGATCTTGGGTGGATATATTGAGATGTACCAAGTTTGAATGGAATTGGATGTTAATTTCGCGTATTATGGGCTTTATGGATATTCAACATTTTGACATTTTGTGTTGGAGGTACCAGAAGGAGTGGACCGATATATTCCATTTCCACACCAGACCTTGAGTTAATAAAAATATTGTGATGTGTGTAATTTGAAGAGAATCGGATGCTTAATTCGGATTTTATGATAGTTTTGGTTATTCAAAACTTTAAACCTTTGTGAGGGAGGTACCAGAAGGTGTGGACCGATATATCCCACTTCCATACCAGACCTTGGGTTAATAAAAATATTTTGATGTGTGTAATTTGTAGAGAACCGGGTGCTTAATTTGGATTTTATGATCGTTTTGCTTATTCAAAACTTTAAACCTTTGTGGAGGAGGTACCAGAAGGATGGTCCGATCTCTACCATCTTTATAACATATCTTATGCTGATAGAAATATTGAAATGTTCCAAGTCTTAATAAAATCGGATGTTAATTTCATGATTTATGAGCTCCATTAATATTCAAAAATTTGACCCTTTGTGGGAGAGGTACCAGACGGAGTGCACCGATATATTCCATCTTCACACCAGACCTTGGTTTGGTGATGTGTTTAATTGAAGTCAATCAGACGCTTACATCACATTTTATAAGAGTTATAATTATTCAAATTGTTGACCCTTTGTGGGGGAGGTACTTGATGGGGTGGACCGATATTGTCCATTGTCGCACCTGACTTAGCACTGATGCAAATATTATGATTTGCAAAGTTGGAGAATAATCGGATTAACCTTTCTCTTTCTGTGCAGTAAATTATTTTCTTTGAAAATGTCGACATTTTGTGTGGGGGGTACCAGAAGGAGTGGTCCTATATTGCTCATCTCCGAACTCGATCTATGTTTGACAATAATATTACGATGTACCAAGTTTGGACCGAATCGGATACTCCCTTTTAGAGTTATCGTGCGCCAGACAGACTGACGGAAGGACATCGTTAAATCGACTCCAAATGTCCTGAAACGGATTTGGTCCAAAGAGACCTAGGGTTTCAAACCGTATCAAATGATATATACCCTCTCGAGCCATTTGGCTGAGGGGACAACGTCTTTGAGTTAAGAACTGCCATCTCAGTCATTTGCTCTAGTCTTCAAGATTTTTGTTTGAAGTAAACAGGGGAATTAGAAGTCTTCCGATTTCCATTTACCACTTTGAGTTGTCGATTTTTGTTTGTCAATCTCGCCACTTTTTTGAGATCTTGACTGGTTAGGTATATTATGGAAATGGAAATTTTTACTTATTTGAGGTCGCATTACATCAATTCATCTATTGTCTTGCGGCAGGACTTTTACAAAATTTTAAAGGACATTATTATTAACAATTTTTTAATGCATTTTTCTAGATTATATGGAACACTTTGCTGCCTCCGATTTTTGGGCCAAATTCAATGTGGCCAATGCTGATTCATCGGATGAAGATCTATACTATTTGCTGCAGGCCTTCTTTGAAATGGCCAATGATCGTGACAGGAACAAAGATTGGGACTTAATTAAAACCATATGTCTGCACATTTTCAATGTAAGTAAATAAATTGGATAAAAAAAGAAATATTTCCACTCATATTTTCTTTTTTAATAGATTGGTTACCTCAATCATGATACCCGTGATGTATGCTACAAAGCAGCCCGTGATATGCTGGTCAACTTGACACTGGCCTATGAGGATTTACTCTCCTGCCTATTGACACAATTGAAGATTCGCTTTAATGACTGTGAAAATGTTGTATATCTTTTCAAATCACTGCCATTGGAAAATTGGAAACCATCCATGGAAAGTTTTGAAATTCTTTCAAATTGGTTGTTACATTTTGATTTTCGTTCTCCCGAGAATATGTTGGCTCGCATTGTGATCAGTCATCTGAATTGGTCTTTCGATTGTGATGGCCGCTTGTTTTTACCCCATAATATACATGTACGCATGGCTTGTCTCATATCAGAGGCTCTTACCAAACATGCTCCCGAGGTATTGGGTCTTTCGGGTATATCGGAAAGTGTTAGACAAGTATCAAGTCTAATTGATTTCACCCAATCGACGAAAGAACAATTTACAACATGGTGTTGGAGTATTGTATCCTTGCTTCGTTTACACATAATGGATCAAAACGTGGAAACAATCAAACAATGTTTGCGAAATCCCTCAGAGGGTCTTATGTTTGTGCCGGAATTAGAACGCATGGATCTAATTTATCAGGGTGTTAATGAAAATCGACCATTGGCTTTATATGTGGCTGTGTTGGTCTCGCTACATGGTCACTCCATACCGATGATTTGTCAAAAGGGTTTTGAGCTGATGCAACGTCTGCTAAGTGATCATCGTCATGCAGCTGTTATACGATGCTTAGAATTAATAGTACCATTGTTTTTGGAAACTCCCGACACTCTGGGAAATGCAGAGAAATTCCATGGCATACTCAATACACTGCTTAATGCCGATAAAACCTATTTGAAAATGGCCAAGGATATGATGTATCCGAATTCGGTGGGACCGGTTTTGGAGTTATTGGATAATATGATACATCATCAAATTACGTCATATACCAGGCATGTTTTTTTAAATTTTATATTTTATTTAATTTAATATAATTTATCCTTTCCAGCTATGGCTTGACTTCACCCTTAAATCTCATTAATGTTTGGCTTAATTGTCTGACGGCACTGCCCAATTGGCAAAATACCTATGTGGTATATTTGTTGGATAAGATCCTGCGTGTGGCCTATCAATTTCCAGATGCCCATCTGCAGTGTGTGGAATTTTTCAGTAATTATCTCAAGGACTGCAACGAATGGAAGGGTACCAATAAAATGTCCAGTCTTAAGGGCTTCTTTGGTGGCAATCAATCCAAAATACCAGTGTTGTCGGCATATCAACCATGGTTGGCCATGGTCTTGTTGGAAATTGAATTTAAGACACAAGATTCTTTTATATGGCTCGAATTGTTAAGACAACTAAGTTCGGCTGGCAGCAATACCAATATGGATGGTATTTTAAAGGTAAGGGAAATGATTAATTTTACCAAGGATCTTGAATAAATAATTGATGTGTTTGCAGAAAACTCTCAACCTGGCCAAGCGACCGGTGTTCCCAGCCAACATGTTGGTCATCTATAAATATGCAAACTTAATTGCCAACATGGACATCAATCATGCTCTCTTTCCCATTGTCAATCAGAAATTTTTTGAATTATTTCTATCACGTGTCCCGCCAAGTTATGATGAGCATAGTTTCCAACAAACCCATGGAGTCTCGGATAAATTTTATGAATTCAATGTACCGCTTATGAAGAAGATTAAAACCCAATTAAAAGCTGCCGAAACGTTCTATGACAATGAGGCCAAGACCCATGCCAATGATGAGAGTTTCAGTTACTATTATCGTAACTGTAACAGGTGAGAAACTGAAAAGAATAATGGACATTTTGGAAAAGTTGTTAATGAAAAGAATTTCCAATTGGGGACAAATTTTGAAAACCTAATTTTAGCTACTTTTTTTTCAATTGGAAAATGTTCTAATGTACTTCCAAAATACCTTCTTTTTATACCCTCAGCCATATAGCTACAGAGGGTATATATAATTTGATACGGCCAAAATGTTCCTCATCGAAATAAGGGTCTCTTTGGACCAAATCCGGACATTTGGTGTCGATCTAGCGACTTCCGTCCATCCGTCTGTCTGGCTGGCTGGTGCGCACAATAACCCTCGAAGGGAGTATGCGATTTGATTTAAACTTTGTACATCGTAATATTATTGTCAAACTTAGATCGAGTTCGGAGATGGGCAATATCGGCCCACTCCTTTTGGTAACTCCGACACAAATTTAAAAAAAAAATTACAGCGCAGAAAGAGAAAAGATAATACGAATTTGCTCGAACTTTGCAAATCCTAATATTCGCATCAGTGCGAAAATGGACAATATCGGTCCATTCCACCAAGTGCCTCCCCCACAAAAATTTCAAAATTTTGAATAATTACAACTCTTATAATCTGTGATGAGGGTGTCCGATTGCCTTCAAATTACCCACATCACATTATTTTTACTTAACCAGGGCCTGGTGTGAAGATGGAATGTATCGGTCCACCCCTTCTGGTGCCTTCCCCACACAGGGCCAAAATTTTGAATATTCATAAAGCACGAAATTATCATCCGATTCTATTCAGACTTGGCACATCTCAATATTTCTATCAGCATAAGACCTGTTGTAAAAATGGTAGAGATCGGATCATTTCTTCTGGTACCTCCCCCACATAGGCTTCAAGATTTTGAAAAACAAAACGCTCAAAGAAAGCGAAATAAGCACCCAACTCTCTAAAAATTACACACATCACCATATTTTTATTAAACCAAGGCCCGGTGTGATGATGGAATATATCGGTCCACTCCTTCTTGTACCTCTCCCACAAAGGGTCAACATTTTGAATATTCACGGAGCTCATAAAACACAAAATTATCATCCGATTCCAATCGGATTCGGCACATCATAGGTCACTCCTTTTTGTACCTCCCCCAGAAAGGGTCAACATTTTAAATATTCATGGACCTCATAAAACACGAAATTAACATTTGATTTCATTCAAACTTGGCACATCTCAATATAATTCATCAACACAAGATCTATTATAAAGATGGTAGAGATCGGACCATTCCTTCTGGTACCTCCCTTACAAAGGGTCAAAGTTTTGAATAACAAAAACGATCAGAAAAAACGAACTAAGATTCCGGTTCTCTTCAAATTACACACATCACAATATTTTGATTAACCCAAACTCTGGTGAGAAGATGGAATATATCGGTCAACTCCTTCTGGTACCTCCCCCTCAAAGCGTCAAAATTTTGAATATTCATGGAGCTCATAAAACACTATTTAACGTCCGATTCCATTCAGACTTGGTACATCTCAATATTTTCATCAATACAAGATCTGTTATAAAGATGAGAGGGATTGGACCATTTCTTCTGGTACCTACCCCACAAAAGGGTCATCCTTTTGAATAACCAAAACGATCATAAAATCCGAAATAAACTTCCGATTCTCTTCAAATTACACACATCACAATATTTTTATTAACCCAAGGTCTGGTGTGAAGTTGGAAAATATTGGTCCACTCCATCTGGTACCTCCTCCACAAAGGGCATCATTTTGAATATTCATAGAACTCATCAAACACGAAATTACCACCCGATTCCATTCAGACTTGGTACATATCAATATTTCTATCAACACAAAGTCTGAATGGAAAATATTGGCCCATACCTTCCGAACCTACTCCATAGAGGGTCAACAATTGGAATACATTTGAATAAAATATGCTGAGGGTATACATCTGCCGGCAAAACCGACTGCGACTATTTTACTTGTTTTAATTTAATCCATAATTTTGTTTTCTTTTTTCAGAATTATGAAAACCTATGCCCTGTGGCTTGAAGACACGGCCATTAATAAAATGTCTCAAGATCAGGATTCATATCCACCACAGTATAATGGCGAAAAACTAAAGGAGATTTTCAATACACCAACTGTGAGTAATCATTTTGATATTTCTAAATTACAAACAAAATATATTCCCTTTTCCCTTCGCCTAATTTCAGCATCATTGGACGGAATTTTTGTATTTACCATTAATACGCAAAGAGCAGCGCTATCAGGCCGATCAGTGGGCACGTAAATGTTTCCGCTTTCGTTCTGTAAAACAACTGCGAACACCTCTCCAATCCAAGGCAAAATCTACGCCTATTCAAAGAATCAAAAGTCATTTAAGTTCATATGACAAACAATTGCCACCACCCACATATGTTCGACCCAATTTGCGAATACAGCAGGAAATAACGAACGAAACATTAAAAGATCTAAAAGACAAATTGAAAATATTAACGAATACAGCAACGTAAGTTCTGAGGCAGCAATCAAATGCCTTTAGTTACCAAACAATTTCTTTTTTAGAAAATTCCATTTCAAGACATCCGAATTGAATTCGATAAATCGCAATTACATGGATAACATTGTACAGCTTTATAAAATGGTGCCTTATGAAGAGATCAAAATTAAAAATTGCAATTCTTTGGTCTTCAATCGTCGTTGCTCGAATCCGGCCAGGATTGTTACCACATTGGAGAAAATACGCAAAGATGAACAGATACAACAGAAAATCGACACTTTTCGTGAGAGGCATGACAAAATCGTTGATGAAATGTTACATGAAAATGTTGAAGAATTCGCCCGTAGTGTGGGGGAAATTGGACAAATTCTACGTTTGCTATTGATGAGGGGAAATAATGCAAACCACACGCCACAGGATGTCGTTGAACGTTTGAAATCTAATACAGGAGTTGCATTTTTCTATCATGTCATTGACAATATGTCCGAGATCACAATGAAATTTAATGCCACCCATAAATTCTATACGGAGCTGCTGAATGATTTGGGTGTAAGTAGTAATGGAGTAATGTAAAAATAGGAGATGATTTGTTATATTTGCTCAATAGGTCTTTATTCAAGCCAATCAAGAAGAGGAGGGCTTGAAAATTTTGAAATTGGCCTTGAAACGACCAAATCTTTTGAAATCCCTAGCCGGTGTCTTTGTACCCTGTCAAACCCGACCACCATATTTCCTCAAAATGTATAAATTCCTCATTGACTCCCATTTGAAACTCTGTGATACAAACACCTTATTTGTGTTGTTTTCAAAGGTAAGGAAGCATTTAAAAAAAATTACGCAAAATAAATATAAAATTGGTTTTCTCTCTTGTCTTCCCAGTTCGATTTAATTTTATGGCTTGAAAACTTCACCCCAAAACTTTTCGATATCAACCAATTGCTGCAGTTGATTTTACAAGGTCTCGAGTCTTGGTCTCAGCCCTCATCGAGTCTGTTACAAGATCAATTTCGTCGTCATCTCGTACATATCTTCAATTATGATTTTCCCGAACATTATGGTGAAGTTATGCAAATGGTTTTGGATCGTATATCGGACAATAAGTTAATGCCCATTGTCTTGTTGGATCTACTCAATAGTCTATTGGAGAAATTCAATTGTGAACTAATGCAATTGGATACACCGCAGCATAGGATTCAAATGATTTCCATGGATTTTGCCAGGAGACAGACGCTCTTCAATCTCAAGGCTGCCACCGATACGGTAATGCTTTTCGCTCGTTACTTTCAAAAGGAGCGTCTTAGTCATGGCCTACACGGTCTCTATCCCAAGCATAAGGACTACTGTATGCCCCTGGCCATGTGGTTTTCATGCATGGGCCATTGTGTTGTTGTCTCGGCAATTTGTACCTATCAGGAACTACTGGCCGATCAGAGTATGTTAAGAAGTTCAATGTGGGAAAAATGTGTTAAAAATCATGTTTTTCTTTCAGTATGTGATTTAATTTTCGGTTCCATTATTGAAATGTATTCACCATGGCTGGTAACCTACACCGAGGAGACCATACGCCAGTTTTCGGCCAATTGGATAAGGCAATTGGTGGAGAGTGGCAATGGCAAACGTTTGTTGCCATGGAGTGAGCAGCACGCCAAAACCAGTAAAATAATGATTAAAAATTTCACTCAAACCCTGATGTTTATTATGGAAAATCTACCAAGTAAGCATAACCACATTCAGGATATATTGATTTGAGGAGAACTTAACGACTCCTTTTTAGTTTCCCACAAAATATTGGCCCATTGCTTTAGCTGGTACATTCATCACTTTGCCGTACCCAATATTGAGAGTTACATATATGGACCAATCCATGAAGGCATTGCCGAATTGCCCTGGGAAAATTTCCAGCCCCAAGATGAATACGTAGATATGTTGTACGACAGTTTGCAAAAGGTATTGGACAATTTTTTGCAGGAAGACCATTTTGTTAGTTACCTCATACCTTTTTTGCAGTTCCTACCACATTCCCATGCCATGTTGGGTCACATTTTCATACGTATCAATTGGAATCAATGGTTTGAAAGCACCCTATTGAGCATACCGGGTGCCACGCATAAGACTCTGGTATCCCGGCTGTTTACAATTTTTGTGAAAATAGCCTTTGAACCCAATATCCATATGCAAATTAATACCAGCAAAATATTGGAAGATGCCATTAAATATCCCTGGCACCGGGTGGACTATGGCGAGTTGGAGAATTTATTAAAATGGTTTTGTACAAGTGTTGAACCAACCATTATTCTGAAATTGCCTGAAGAAACAAATTATGTGGATAGGGCTGTATTGGAGTAAGTTCTATTATTAAAATTGCTTATTTTCCCCCTGCTAATCCATTTTCCATTTTAGTTTATTGCGCTTAACCTGTGCAATGATGCCTGAGATTGGCAATCAAATGCAACTTATCTCCAATGCCACAGCCAAACGCATACTCTATACTCGAACCATGATACGTTTACAACGTCAGGCTGCCACCAAAAATCCCAAACTTTTGGCCACCAAGGAGGGTAAAAAAGTTTTCAATACAGCTTTCGAAGAACTATTGCACACGTTAAATCAATCCCTGATTGCATTGGCCGCCACTAAATCGCCTGAGGAACAACGAAGAGAAGCCCTTAATGTAATGTTAGAAATTATATTGCCAATGCAGACACAAAGCGAAGAGACATCGAAGTAAGTAGGTGGGGGATGTTAATACATTTTTTACAGAAGAATTTCAATATTCATCCGAGACCGAAAGTAAAGGTAAAGTTCATTAGAGGCTGGAAAAATTGGGGAGGAGGTTTTAATACAGGAATACAATTCAGATTTACTTTGAATTTTGCGATTTTTTTCGAACATAACCGTCGACTAATTTATTGCGAATATTACTTCTTCTTTGAAAACCTCTTCAATAATCGAGAATGACCATCGAATATATGGAACAAGGTAGTGTACTTGATTCTAGAATTTGTACACAACAATTTCAATATGCATCCGAGACACCATAAACTGAAAGTAAAGGTAAAGTTTATAAGAGACTGGAAAAAGAAGTTGAGGATTAGATTTCTGGGTATACCAGTCTGTTCAATACATACCTATCTCGCCTGAGCTGGTCTATAGTATCTCTACATGGTATGTATGTACATAAGCCCGCTTTTGGAAGGCAATAACTTCTGGTACAAGAAGGGCTTTCAATGCCCACCACGAGTTGTGGCATTCCGTCCTAGGTAATTACCAGAGGGGATCAGCGTTGGTAGAGCAGATTGACTGCTCCACATTTTGCTCTCTAAATGGAGAGTGTCACATTTCGCCAGACTTAACCATAGTATCCCCCATGCCTGATAAATGAAGTGGCTAGGCAACCCGTAATTTCTCTTGGGTCAGACCTTAATGCCAAAAATCGTCTCCATAAACAGATTGCCACCATTTACATGAGGAGGCGAAAGTCCTGCCCTTACGTCAGACTAATCATATGCTTTCGTCGCAGTACCTGCATGTGTGTTACCGTGAGAGTCATCCCAACCATCATATGGTGGATATAACTCCCGCACCCAGGCGTGTCAGGAAGGACATACATGATTAAGAGAGGGAGGTCCAACGCTTTAAGAGAGAACACCTAGATCAAAAAGCCTATCCGGCACAATACACTGCATCTCTTTAATTGCACTGCCAAACCTACCAACCAACTCACTCCAGAAGATCTCTGGCTATAACCCATTAAAGTAGCCCAATTTTTAAAGCTGGGGCTTGAACCAGATTTGCAGAATACAAACACCCATATGTACTACTGCTACAACAAGAACAATAAACAGATTACCGATCTGAAAACCTCAGATAACATTTCATAGCCGCCATGGCTAGAATTCAGGGAGTTCGGTTTTTAGTACTTTCCAATCCACCTGACCCTTCGGGTTGCTGAAAAGATTTTCCGGGACATCATCAAACCTGCAGCCGCTTGCCATATACCTGCCAGTTGAACATCCGAAATAAGACCTAATTTCACTGCAGAAAGCGTCAGGGTCAGTGAACTGACAGTGGATGTTCTATTCGTCTGCGTAATTGAAGAGTAGAAGAACATCTTCAATGCACTTGAGTACCCGATTTGATCCAGACTTGTTACATTGTAATATTATTGTCAAACTTAGATCGAGTTCGGAGATGAACAATATCGGTCAACTCTTTCTGGTAACTCCCCCACAAAAGGTCGAAATTTTCAAAGAAAATATTTTACTGCACAGAAAGAGAAAGGATAATCCGATTTTGCTCCAACTTTGTTAATCCTAATATTTGGATTAATCCTAGGTCAGCTGCGAAAATGGACAATATCGATCCACTCCATTAAGTACCTCCCACACAAAGGGTCAACATTTTGAATAATTATAAGTCTTATAAAATATGATACAAGAGCCCGATTATCTTCACAATATTGTTATTAACACAAGGCCTTGTGTGAAGATGGGATAAATCGGTCCACTCCTGCTGGTACCTCTCTAACAAAAGGTCGAAATTTTCAATATCCATGAAGCTCATAAAACGCGAAACTAACCTCCGATTTCATTCAGACTTGACACATCTCAATATTTCTATCAACACAAGATCTGTTATAAAGATGATAGAAATCGGACCATTCCTTCTGGTACCTCCCCCACAAAGGGTCAAATTTTTGAATAGCCAAAACGATCATAAAATTTATTACATATTTACATACATATATATTTAAAACTTATTTCTTTACCCAGGGCCTGGTGTGAATATGAATGTATCGGCCCAATTCTACTGGTACCTCCCCCACAAAGGGTCAAAATTTTGAGTGTCTATGAAGCTCATAGTATGCGAAATTAACATCCGATTCCATTTAGACTTGGTACATACCAATATTCCCATCAACATAAAATCTGTTATTAACATGGTACCTCTGGTACCTCCTCATAACTCAAAACTGGGGGTATACATCTATCAGCCAAGCCGACTGATATAATTTTACTTGTTTTTAATTTTATTCTAGCCTACACGTCGAAAGTATCATCAAATGGCAGGTGAATATTGCCGAGCCGGGCAACATATTAATGTGCAGCATCCTCTCGGCCATGGGTCATATGAAAGCTTTCATTGGTGGGATTTATGATCTATTGGAAGCCAGCATAATCTTCTATTTTCGTTCATCGGAGTCCAGTTTGGAATGGCATTCACCCAGCTGGTTACAATTGTTGCAAATTTTACAAATGTCTTTGGAGAAACTGGAGTTGATGCCAATAATGCGTAACTCCTCCATATTCACGCTACACATTTTCATTCTCTATAAAATGGAAAAAATGCCCACCGTGGGAGATCAAATAACGTTCATGCAAGATCTATGTCAACTTATTGAGAACATTAAAACTGAACCGGCCACGGAAGCTATGATGGCTGTGGTATGGGGTGCCATGATTTCATGTGGTTGTCGTATATTCCTCACCGAACCGAGAAATTCCAAGAAACCCTTGATAATGTTATCGCGGCATTTACAACATCTGTCCACCCAGGCCGAAGGTTGGGGTGATGGTATTTTGGGAGCAATCGGTTTGAAAAAGGACATTGTGACAAACAAGTAAGTCAAGAAAAGGGAAGAACTGGAATACAATTAATATTCTTTAACTGTTTTCTTTGATAGGCGTAAAGTGTTGACACGTTGCTTGGCGATTGTGATATTATCCTTATATCCCGAACTTAGGTAAGTTGCTTATGCCATTTAGTGATTTTTTTAATTAATCCCTACTCTTCATTCATGTCACAGGCATTCCATCAATCGTGTTGAACCCAATGAAGAGTACAGCTCATCGATGAGAGAATTATCCATGCTATTGGCCAATAAAAAGTTTTTAGATGTTAAACCTTTGATTGTACAGGCCATTGGTATACTCGAAGAGAATCCCATGCCCAAAATCCAAGATGTTCCACATTTGGTTTGTCGTCTAATTTCACTTTTTTATTGCAATGGCTTCCTTACCACGGTACCCGAAGTTTGGGAATTAGACTTCCGTATTCCTGGTATATAATTTGCGTTGACCACAACTGACCTTTAAGGTTTTATTTTCGAAGTCTGTTTATTATTTACATGCAAACATACATATACATATATTTTTTATATACTACATACAACAATACATGCATACATACATTTTAAATGTACCTAAGCTAAGTGATATCATTGAAAATTTAAGCGATTTTTTTCTCATTCTTCCTTTTTTCAAATATTTACAAAATAAAATCAATTTAATATGGTGTTCAAAAGGCATTATTCGAGTTGGTCACGGAAGCGAACATGGTATGGGAAGTCGAAAATATAGGACGTTGAGTTTGCAATTAGATGGAAAATTGAGTAGAGCCGAATTATTTGGAGGTCTACAAAGTTATACTGACGTTACGTTATAAGGTGCCTGTTGAAGTCTTCGATCACTGTGCGAAATTACAGAGGGATGGAACAACGAGGGCACCAAAAGTCCTGACTGGTTTGTTAAGGAAGTTGATCATCCCTAGGAAGTTGATCATCCCTAGCTGGATAGTATTTCCACATCCTTTGGCTCGTACTTTGGACCATCCTTTGTTTCGTACTTTGGATACATCCCAATACCATCTGAAGCACATTGTTTTATGAAATTTGAAAAAAGGTTTTTTTTTTAATATTGGTAATGGAGGAGGACCACACCGAAATATCGTAGCCCAAGAAGTGTCAGAAGATGCTCAGATATGTGTAGGAAACAAATGATTTCAGATGCAATGAATGATCGATTGTAAGATAAGGATTGGACAAAGCTATCACAATTTTCTAAAGGTTTGAAAACTGAAAGTTTTGAAAAGTTTAACGCCATTCTGTTATTGTTGTAACAGCTTCACATGTTTTGTTTGATTTGTGCTAATCCGTTTCTAACTCCAGATGATTCGACTATTTTCACGGGATGTAACGAAAGATCTTCTGGAATGCATGGGGTAGGTTTGGCAGAGAAATAAGAGAGATGTAATGTATTGTGTTGTTGTTGTTGTAGCAGTAGTACACGTAAGTGTTCATTCCGATTGTAACTCCTCGAAATACTCATGTCAGACCCAACAAAGTATATTTATTCTTGATCAGCGTAAAATTCTAAGTCGATTTAGCGATGTCCGTCTGTCTGTCTGTTGTAATTACGCTATCTTTCGAACGAATAGAGATAGAAGGCTAACATTTTGCAGCATGTTTATTTTTCCAGTAGGCAGGTTAAGTTCGTAAATGAACCATGTAGGTCCACGTCTTCGTACAGCTCCTATATAACGGTACCTCCCGATATTCGGTATTTTGATTATTTTAGCGACATTATAACCCGGAATTGTTTCAAATTAGGTATTTGAAGTTCGTGATGGATACTACAGCCTAAGACAGAAAATTGTCTGGGAAGGTTCACGTCTTCATATAGCCCCCATATAACGGTACCTCCCAATATTCGATATTTTGCGACATTATTAACCGGAATCGTTTAAACTTTGGTATTTTAAGTTCGAAAGGGATACTTCAGTCTAAGACAGAAAATTGTCTGTGCAGGTCCACGTTAATGGGCTGTAGCCAGAGATCTTCTGGAGTGAGTTGGGTAGGTTTGGCTGTGCAATCAAAGAGATGCAGCGTATTGTGCAGGCCTGTATCACACGCCGGGCAGATGTTTCGTACATCTTCGTCAATTCGTGGACAATTTGAATTCAGACGACTGCATCATCCTGAATGCAACTGCACCAAAACTACCCTGGTTTGTCAAGGTAGCCTACGTTCTTTAACTGCAATGTATGGAGGGGTGGACTCCGAGGACGGTATACATGGTGTAATTGTTGATGCCATATCTGACTGTGTCCATATGAATGCCTCTCAGACCTGCCTGCTAGGCTTCTTAATCTAGAGGCTATCTCTCGTAGCATTGGAGCCCCCCTATAAATCAAATATGTCCTTTCTGACACACCTAGGTGGGGGGATGACAAAGAAAACATATAATTATGCCGATATACGAAAGGACCTCCTCATGTAGATGGTCACTGGTGTCATGAGGAGGCACCCTGTCGGCACCAGGTTTGAATATTCTTCCATTGCGTAGCCCTTATATTGGCAGACCAAACTGGGGCCGCATAGCTGACCGTTATCGCGTTATAATAGCTCAACAAGATCTCCTTGTCCGCACCCCAAGTGCTGCCGGCTAGCGCCTTGAGGACCGTGTTCCTACTTTTCATCTTGTCGCAGATAACTGTGACTTTCTGTCGAACGTGACCCCAAGGATCTTGGGGTTGTTCGTGGGCGGAATTAAATTTCCCTCAACCTCAGTTCGCATCTCCGTAGAACATGTGGTAGAGAGTGTGGCCATGGCGGATATTTTCAGATCCCTCACGTGGAAGTAGGCGGCAAGATAGGTGTTCAACCATACACATATGTCATCACCTCCAGGGTGGCAAAATACCGAATATGGGGGGGGTACCGTTGTATGGGGGCTATACGATATCATGACCCGATATACCCCACCTTCGAACTTGACCTCCCTGCAGACAAAAAACTGATCTGTGCAAAATTTTAGCTTGCTATCTTTATTCGTTTTGACTCTAGCGTGATTACAACAGATGGACGGGCAGGGCTTAATTGTTTTAGAATTTTACGCTGATCAAGAATATATACAGGGTGAGATAAAAAAACTATAACAAAGTCAAAAGCCATAATTTTTACATTTTTTAAAAATTTTATTGAATAAAACCAAAAAATTTCGGAAATAGCGTAAAATTTAAGAATAAGTTTAGATTGGTTTGAATTGGTCACCTTTGGCACGAATTATGGCCAAAGAAACCGTCACCCGCTGCCCGAATGTTGCTCTGCGGTATTTTGGCCCATTCCCGGTGAAGCGCTTGCTTGAGGTGATCGACACTTTGGTATTTTTTAGTGCCAACCTTGCTTTCCAAAATACTCCAGACACAATAGTCCAATGGATTGGTATCTGGAGATTTTAGTGGCCATTGTGCGCTGGAAATGAAACGATGAACCTCATTTTGTAACCATTCTTAGATGGCGCGTGCTTATTGCGATGGTGCTGAGTCCTGTTTGAATATCCAAGGTCTGCGGCCAAAATGTTTGCACACCCAAGGCTTTAAAACACCCTCCAGAATATTTTCGGGATAATATTCTGCATTTATTCTGATGCCACGGTCGATTAATACGAGCGGAGAGCGACGATCGGCTGTAATGGCGGCCCACACCATAACCATGGCCGGCACTTTAGTTCTGGTGGTCAACCGAAGGTGCACATTTTCAGCTGACAAACTGCTGGACAACGAATGTTTTTTCATCGGAGAAAACCAAATTCGGCAGTTCACCACTTTCGGCCAAGCGAAGCAACTCTTTAGCTCTTTTGAGTCTATTTTCTTTCTGTTGCGGTGTAAATTCTTGCACTTTTTGGAATTTCAATGGCTTTACCCCGAGCTCAATTTTCAATATTTGCCGAAGGGAATATGGCGATATGTTCAGCTCACTAGCCATTTTTCGGCCACTACGACGCGGGTTTCGATCAAGTTGCTTCTTTTCGAACCATTTTTGCTGATGTTGCTGTTTTCTTCCGTCCACTTCCTTGACGTTGGGCTACGCTACCAGCGACACGGTAACGAGCGATGGTACGAGCCACAAAAGATTTATTCACATTTAAATGCTGGAGTGCTCGCTTGAATTCGATAACGAATAACTTTTTTTCTGGAAAATTCTCACCAAAATGCTTTTGTACGCTTGTAAACAATATAATAAGCTGTCACTGGAATAATTTTAACAGCTGTCGGATGAGTGGCTAAAAAATGACAGTAGCCTGAAGTTGCTTGCAGTTTTTTTTCATATCACCCTTTGTATACTTTGTTATGTCTAAAATTATTATTTCGATGAGTTACAAACGAAATGACGAACTTAATATACGCTCCATACTATGTGTGGTGGAGGGTATAAAAATATTGCCAGAATATTTAAATTTGATGTGTCGCCCTTAAACTTGGTATAATTTTATAGTTGTTTTTTTTATTTATTTATTTTAGAGAGGTAAATAAACTGAGTTGACCGATAAACGTGTAGTAATTAAAAAAAAAAAACAATAACAAAAAAAAAATTATTTAAATTCTAAACACATTTTATTTGTTTGACACACAAACAGCCATGTACGTGGCTGACGTCTGTTTGGCACACCTCCACTCGCACGAACTTAATTCTGGTACACAATTAGGTAAATATATATAAACTATTTACAATTAATTAATAATTAATTCAAAGACTTTTATTACTCCGCAAATCATCCTCCAGGATAGAAAGGTTGCCCGGGAAATGGTTGGCCTTTGGAAAACACATAAGGATTTGGATTTACCACCTTGGCTATGTCGGTATACGAACGACCTCGTGAACTTCTTCCCCTGGAGTTATAACCAGAATATCGGGGAAATTCGGGCATTGCCAGAGACAGGTAGACATTTAGCAGGAAGGCCACAAATAAGACAAATATAATTTTCATTTCTGCTGTTATTTATTTTTTTTTATTTTTTATATATATTTTTTTTTTTAATTCCTTTTATTTGCATTTAACTAAGTTTTGTTGTGACTCTTCTTAAACTGCGTTTATTATTGACACGCCTGATCATTATATGCTCTTTTTGTGGTTAATTATTGGAATTGTTATGGTGAAATTATTCTTAGCAACGATTCTTGTGTTTTTTCTTTCAACTTCGTGTCATTGTTCTAATCTTGCCGAAGAGATCGTCGTAAATTGTTGTTTTATTTTTTTCTTTCGTTATCCGGTGGTCATTTAGTCTATGCCTCGATAATATTCAAATCACGTAATTTCTATAACAGAACAAAATAGTCGGATGATTGGACGATCCAGCGACTAGTGCAGAAATTTCTCATGGCGTCGTGTGTCTGAATAATAAACATATTGGAGCAATATTTTAGTTGCGATCAACTTTTATTAAACCTAAAGATAAGATCAAAAGTCTCCTCTGTAAACAAATTTTAGATGCAAAAAAAAAAAAAATCGAAAATTTGAAAAATTATAAAAATTAAAAATCCTGAATTCTTTGAAATATCGAATATTGGGGCAAACTGCAATATGGGGTCTATAAAACTCTATTTCTTTACCCAATACCAAATTTTAGTACTATTTAGTACTTTTGAACAATTATAATAAATATTTCCAAAACCACCACCATATCTCAATTCCCCATTGCTTCAATCAATACGAAATTTAGTACCACTTAGTATTTTTTGTACAATTATAGTACTTATTTCCAAAACCACATCCATATCTCAATTCCAGATAACAACAGAGAACTCAATATCGATTTTCGGTACTCCAGCTATATTCCTTCATTAAATACCCGATTTAGTTCCACTTAGTACTTTTTGAACACTTCTAGTACACCTTTTCAAAATATTTCCAAAACGACCTCCATATCTCAATTCCAGAGACCTCAATATCAAATTTGAAGATTCCAGGCCTATTTCTTTAATCAATACGAAATTTAGTACCACTTGGTACTTTTCGAACACTTATAGTACACATTTCCAAAAACACAGATACCAACAGAGACATCTATATCAAATTTGAGAATTTCAGCTTTATTCCTTCACTCAATACCAAATTTAGTACTATTTAGTACTTTTCGTACAATTTTAGTACACATTTCAAAAACATCTCAAAACTATCTCAATCTCAGATACCCACAGGGAGTACAATATCAAATTTGAGGATTTCAGCCATATTCCTTCATCTAATACTAAACACGGTACTATTTAGTACTCCTCGTACAAAAATATAGTACACATTACCAAAACCACCTCCATATCTTAACCACAGATACCAACAGCTATGGCAATAATTTCATGGTTTCAGCTCTATCTTTTCACCCAATATCAAACTTAGTTCAATTTAGTAGTGTAGGACGAATTTCCAAAACCACCTCCATATCTCAATTTAAAATACCAACAGAAACCTCAATGTCAATTTTCGGGATTCCTAATACCAAATATTGTACCATTTAGTACTTTTCGAACTTTATGGTTCACATTTCCAAACCTCACCTTCACATCTTAATTCCAGAGACCTCAATGTCGGTATTTCGGTATTCCAGATTTATCCTTTCACCCAATACCAAGGGATACTATAGTACCAAAACCACTTACGTATCTTAACCACAGACACCACCATTGGCATCCATATCAAATTTCAGGACTTCAGATACCATAGCTACCCAGATACCAAAAGAGACCTCAATATCAAATTTGAGGATTCCAACCCTATCCCTTCACTCTATACGAAAATTTGGTACCATTTAGTACTAGTCGTACACATAAAAGATACATTTTCAAACCAACACTAAATCTCAAACACCATCTGCTGATCTGAAAATCAACTTTCAGAATTGTACATCTATCCCTTCACCCAGTATCAAATTTTCGTACAATTATAGTACACATTTCCAAAACTACCTCATTAACTTAACCTCAGATACCAACAGAGACCTCTATAAATTTTAAGGATTCCAGCTCTATACCTCCACCCACCATACGAAATTTATTACCATTTAGTACTTTTCGAACAATTATGGTGCACTTTTCCAAAACCATATCTCAATACCAAATAACAACATTGACATCCATATCAAATTTGAGGATACCAACCCAACCACATTCTGAGGCGATCTGTCCGTCTGTCTGTCTGTCCGTCCGTCCGTCTGTCCATTTTTTTTTTTGTGAACAAAGTATAGTTCGCATTTATTACCCGATCCAGATGAAATTTTGCACAAATAATTTGTTTGGCCCAAAGACGAACCCTATTAAAATTGGAGATAATCGGTAAAAATTTAGATATAGCTCCCATATATATCTTCGTCCGATTTGCCTTTTATTGTGCAACAAACGTATAATATCAGCCCGAATAGTATGGAATTTTGCACACACAACCGAATTAGGCCTGAAAATAAGTATGCCAAATTTGATCGAAATCGGTTCAGATATAGCTATAGCACCCATATATATTGTTCATCCGATTTGTTATTTTTGTCCTCCGCAGTCGTAATATGTACTCTGTAACAACAATATTTGGTGAAATATATCAAATACAGCCCAGAAATACATGTGCCAAATTTTATCGAGATCGGTTCAGATTTGGATATAGCTCCTATATATAACTTCGTCCGATTTACTTTTTATTGTGCACCAAACGTCTAATATTTGCCCAAATGGGATGAAATTTGGCATTTACGACCGAATTAAGTCTAGAAGGTAGTATGTCAAATTTGGTGAAGATCGGTTCAGATATAGCTATGTACTGTTCGTCCGATTTGTTATATTTGTTACCCACAACCGTAATATGCACTCCGTAACAAAGATATTCAGGGAAATATATCAAATACAGCTCAGAAATATATTTGCCAAATTTTATCGAGATCGGTTCCGATTTGGATATAGCTCCCATAAATATATTTATCCGATTTTAAATAAACTGTGCACCAAATGGGCAATACAAGTCCGAATTTATAAGATACAAATGCTTCGGCATATTTAGTCCTTTGAACTCTAAATTATAATTATAATCATAGCGTGTATGATTGAATTCTCCCATAAAAACTTTTAATTGTTATGCGGAGCTTTACTAATTTAGCAAAGTGGTGTAGGGTATCATAAAGTAGGCCCCGCCCGACTTTAAGATTTTCTTTACTGGATTCTATTTTTTATCAGAAATTAAAAAAAAAAATCGAATTAACATTTTCTATGAATTTGCTATTTTTATGAACACTGCTGTCCGTAATGCAAATATGTAATATGCAGATTGCCACCATACAAAGCCGTATTTCCATATTGGTAGGTTCATATATTTTAATGGCTAATTAACATAAAACGTTACTGGAAACGAGGGTAATAATTCTCCAGATGCCATTGTTTGGTCTTTGAGCATTATGCAAATATTCAAGATAAATATACTGTATATTTCTGAATAATGCCACTAATATTTCCGTTATTTTTTAAAAATAAAAAAAAAATACAAATTCTTTCTTTCAATGAAACTTCCCCGCGCTAAAAAAAAGAAATATGTGTTCGACAGTTTTAATGATCAATAAAATTCAAGGAAATCAATGCCAAATGCCATGATTGGTATTCGTAAAATGCAACAAAAAAAAACTACTTATTTATAATATTATAAATCAGTAATTGAGTCATTATCGGCGAGGGTGGAATGAATGAATATTAGACAGAAGAGTGTATAGAGCCATTTGAAAAAAGTTATTTTTATCTGTCATACTCTCGTCTCCTCAGACCATGTGTTAAATTAAGACATGGAATTCGCTTCAAACTCTTTGAGCGAAACAAATTTTGTAGGCATTTGTGATTGATGACAACAATAACCTGCAGAAATATGTAATTACCAAAAAAGTGAAACACTTTCATTTCCCCTTTGAAAAAAAAAAAAACGAGATACGTGCCAACCCCACAACGGTGTTCATATTTGTTTTTAATTTGTTCCGAACATAACTTGGGTAAATGGACCATTTTACATAACCAACCTTTAACTTGGAACTTTAATAACTTCATTTGACGTACACACGACAAGCAATGGGCATAATAACAATTATCACTCGCCATGAGCATACAGTGGATGAAAAAAGTTCACATACACAATATGACGTAGGCAAGGAAATTTAAACAAGAAAAAAAAAAAACAGCTAACCGGCTTGCTGGATTGAACTTTTTATACCTTCCACCATTCTTGATGGTGGATAAGTAATTTGTTATCATAGGCTGTAGCAACGATACCGAACTTCAAAAACGAAATTCGAAACAATTTCGGTGAATAATTGTGGAGGGTATAAAAATGATGTATATAGATCTGTAATGAGAAATAAGTTAAAAATATACAAAAAAAAAAAACAGTAAGGAAAAGTCAAAAGTCGGACAGGGCCGACTATATGATACCCTACACCACTGTGCAAATTTAGTGGAGCTCCCGTAACAAAAGAATGTATTTGAAGTAGATTATAACACCTATCAACGTTTGGCTTTAGAGCAGTTATAGTTTGGTTCCAGAGGGAACTAATATATGGGAGGCATATACAATTCTGCATGGATTTTCACTAAATTTGACGGAGGCATTTTAATCTTTTATACCAAATACCATTGCTATAGATCACTTCGAGAATGATTATATTAAAAAAAAATATGTATCGGAGCCGAGTTCCACAAAATGGAAACGTACGTCCTGAAATTCCGAGCTCTGTAAGATATCTGATACCAAATATCATTGTTGTCGAATGCATATTACGCATATGAGGGGCTTAAAACCAAATGGGATGAAACATATATATATGAGAGCTATAGCTATATCTGAACCGATGTTCACCAAATTTGGTGTACTTACTTCTAGACTGAATTCAGTCGGATGTGCCAAAATTCACACGATTTGGATTGATATAATCCATTTGGTGCACAAGAAACCTAAAATCGGATAAAGATATATATGGGAGCAATATCTTAATTTGGACCGATTTTCACCAATTTCAATAGGGTTCGTCTTTGAGCCAAACAAATGTTATTTAAAAAATTTCAAATTAATAGAATAATAATTCCGACCTGCATTTTATTTACAAAAATACATGGACAGACAGATACATGGACAGATGCACAAAGACATAATACCCTTACCACTATGTGGTGTAGGGTCTAACAACGCAGGATCTAAATTTGTGTACCTCACTGCATGGAAAAAAGTACTTTTACATACACATCTTTATCCTGATGCCACTAGGCTAAAAAATTAAACTTCTTTAATAATTACAAGTACAACTCAGCAGATTATGAAACTAGAGATAAAAACAAGTAAAAAAGCTGTAAGTTCGGTGAATACCCTCCACCAATTGGATCGATGTTGGCAATTTACCAAAAAAATAAAATCCGTTAAAGATTCTGTTAAAATCTTAAAAATACCGAATGTAGCCGTAATATTAGGGTCTATACGACGACATGGACCTGTATAGGCAATTTTTACCATAAGCCATTTCAATATTCAAATGCGAAAATTGAAAAAACAATTCGGTGAATAATGTAGTAAAAATTATCAAAATACCGAATATAGGGAGGTACAATGGGGGCTATACCAAAACGTGGACCTGCACAGACAATTTTCTATCATAGGCTGTAGGCGGTCTTCAAATACCAAATTTGAAATATTTCCGGCGAAAAATGTTGCTTAAATTACCAAAATACCGAAAATAGGGAGGTACCATTATATGGGGCTATACCAAAACGTGGTCCTACACGTCCTTCATTTTGTTCGGAAACTGGAGTGATTTGTACAGACGGACATATGGACGGACGGACATCGCTAAATCGACATAGAATTTTATGCTGATCAAGAATATATATATATTTTGGAGGGTCTAAAATGTTTATTTCGAAGTGTTACAAACGGAATGGCAAACTTAATATACCCTCCATACTATAGTGGATGGTCTGTGGAAATCTCTCTAGCTTTCGAACAAATTGAAGGTGGTTAATGAAATTTTACTCTATTATGTGTTTGGTCTAAAGGACTTTTGGTTTTGAAAGTGGGCTATATAGGTCCACGTTAAGGCATAGCCCCCACATGACTGTACCTCCCTGCATTCGGTATTTTAATCATTTTAACGATATTATCCACCGAAATGGTTTCAAATTTCGTATTTGAAGTTCCTAATAGGTACTACAATCTATGCCAGAAAATTTTCTATGCAGGCCCAGGTCTTCGTATAACCCCCATATAACGGTGCCTCCATATATTCCGTATTTTGATAAGTTTAGCGACATTACTTATCGGAATTGTTTGATGTTCCTTATGGGTACTACTGCCAATGATAGAAAATGTCTATGTAGGTCCAGGTATAGCCCCCATTTATGGGTACCTCCCTATGTTCGGTATTTTGCTGATTTTAGCGAGATTATTCACCGGAATTGTTTCAAAGCCTGTGACAGAAATTGCTTAAGCCTGGTCCAGGTCTTCGTATATCGGTACCTCCCTATATTCGGCAGTTTGATGGTTTTAGCTACATTATTCACCGAAATGGCTTCAAATTTCGTATTTGAAGTTGCTAATGGATACTCCATATTTTCGTATAACCCCTGTATAATTATTCATCGATTTTGCTTCAAATTTCGTATTTGAATTTCCTTACGGGTACTACAATCTATGACAGAAAATTGCAGGTCCAGGTCTTCGTATAACCCCCATACAACTGTACCTCCCTATATTCGGGATTTTGCTGATTTTAGCGAGATTATTCACCGCAATAGTTCCAAATGTTGTATTTGAAGTTCCTAATGGGTATTACCACCTGTAACAGAAAATTACCTATGCAGGTCCATTACTTCGTATAATCTCCATATAGCCCTTAAATATAGGTACCTCCCTAAATTCGGTAATTTGATGATTTATGCTACATTATTCAGCGGAATTGTTTCAAGGTTCCCATTTGAATATTGTAATGGCCTATGACAAAAATTTCCTTATTAAGGGTTCTACGTATAGAACGCAATATAACGGTAACTACCTATATTCGGTATTTCAAAAATTTTAACAAATTTTATTTTTTTTTTTTTTTCAAATTCGCTCCAAATGGTAAGGGGTATTAAAAGTTCTGCCCAGCCGAGCAGCTTTTTAACTTGTTTCATTTTATATTGTTCCTTACTACTTCTTCCTTCCTTGTTCCTTGCACTTCTATGCAATTTCAGTATCTACCCCATATCATGTTGGAGTTTATGAAAACTTCTCAATATGTCATTTATATTTTTTACATTCTTTATTTACACAAATTGTATTTAACCTAACTGCTATTTTAAACATTACGAAACTTATTTTAAATTCCCTACCAAATTCTCTAACCACTCGGATAAAATGGTTGTGCTGGATATGGTCGTTGGCCTACGAATGCATAAGGATTGGGATTTATAACTCTAGCAATATCGGAATAGGTACGACCAGTACGCTTTCCACCAGGACGTCGGCCGGGTCTATGGTATGCGCCATAATATCCTCCTCCACTTCCGCCATAGTAACCATAATTGTTGTAGTAATTATTGTTGTAACCATAATAGGGATTACGATAACGGCCACTGCTGCCATAGCCGAGGGACCTTTTGAAACTCTTTAGCCATGGTTTAAAAAATAATCCAGAACACACATCAATGCAGCAGATTGTGAAGAGTAAACAGAAGACAGCACTTTTCAGGAATTTCATAATGTCGAGTATTGAGGGTAATTTTTTGAATTCTTAATTCTTGAGATTTGTTCCTTCCACACTCAATGTAACTTCACAACTTGCTACTTGCAAACTACAAGAAGTCGTATTTATTGGGGAATTCTCTTCCCCACAAAATACTTTGCGTATAGGAATACCATACATACATACAAAACATAAACAAACTTCAGTTTGTTCTTTTTTTAATTTTTTTGGTTTTTTGGTACTACTTCCATGGCAATTCTCTTGCCCGGAATCCCGTAGAATTTCTTCTGTATGTGTCAAGTTACTCATACACTGATACGCAATTATTTCAATCTCTTCGTATTTGCCACAAGATAATTTTATTTTAATTCATTTTTTTTTCTTTTTTATTTACATTTGAATTGTTTTTATTTTCAGAATTAAAGATTGCAAATTGCCGTTTTGAAGAGACGCCTCTTCTGGGCCAGCCCCACTTTTTTTTACACAATTTCTGCTGTTTTCAGTTAGCTTAGTTATGACATCTCTGAATCTGTGATTTACCCTAAGATTGAATTCAAATCACGTCTTAACGCCACGACTTCGCACCGTTTAATGCTAAGCTTTGTCATCGCTGTTCGCTGAGTAAAACACAGAAGAAATGCCATGGCTTAGGGTTTGGAATGCAGCAGAGTTTTGTTGGTCAACAACAGCAACAGATCTTCGGCTGGAAGAAATTTAAAACATTCATTCAAAAGATTTCAATCAGTCGTTCAACTTACTAATTATTACACAGCTCTAATAGACCATAAAATTGTTGAAGATATCCAATGCATCCTTAAGGTTCGTGAGTCATTTTTTTGTGATGCAGTCTCTTCTGGCAGTATAACCTTTGGCAGTAACCTTTAATAAACATGTTTATTTTTCCAGTAGGCAGATTAAGTTCCGATATTCCGTATTTTGATGATTTTAGCTACATTATTCACCGAAATTGTTTCAAATTTGGTATTTGAAGTTCGAAATGTATACTACAGCCTAAGACAGAAAATTGTTTGTGAAGGTCCACGTCTTCGTACCCCCATATAACGGTACCTCCCAATATTCGATAGTTTGATGATTTTAGCGTCATTATTCACCAGAATTGTTTCAAATTACGTATTTAGAGTTCGTTATGGGAACTAAAGTCTGTGACAGAAAATTATCTATACAGGTCTAGGTCTTCGTATAGGCCCCATATATCAGTACCTCCCTATATTCGGTATTTTGACGATTTTAGGAACAATACCCACCGAAATTGTTTGAGATGTCGTATTTGAAGTTCGTAATGGATGCTACAGCCTGTGACAGAAAATTGTCTATGCAGGTCCAGATCTTATCACAGCCTCCTCCCTATATACGATATTTTGATGATTTTAGCTACATTATTCACCCTTTATTGTCTGAAATTCTACACAAGAAATTTTCTGTGCGTATTTTACCCCTCTGAAAGAGAATTTTCTATATAGGTCCACGATATCGTATCGTTGATGATTTTAGCCAAATTTTTTTAATTTTATCCTTTTTCTAAATACCAAATTTAATACGATTTCGTACTTTTCGCACAATTTTTGTACACATTTCCGAAGCCAACTCTATATGCTCAGGTTATATATGAACAGCGGTACCCAAATACAAAATTCCGGATTTTCGTACAATTATAGTACACATTTTTAAAACCTATCTCCATATCTTAACCCCAGACACCAATAGTGACATCTGTATCAAATTTCGGAATTTCAGCTCTGTTTTGAAATACCAATACCAAATTTAGTACTTTTCGTATAATTACAATTCCACAACAGATAACATCAGTAATCTAAATATGAATTTCCAGAATTGTATCTCTATTCCTTTTCCCAATACCAAATATAGTACAATTCCATACTTTTCGTACAATTATAGTACACATTTCCCAAACAATCTCCATATGTCCAGGATACACATGAACAGAGACGCTAATATCAAACTTAAGATTTCAAACACTATCTGTTCACCTAATACCAAATTGTACTAAATATAGTACTTTTATATATACTTTTATATATAGTACTTTTTGTATAGTACTTTTCTTGAACTTTTCAGTACACATTTCCAAAACCAACTCTCTATCTCAAACCTACCATGGAAGCTTATACACAATTCCAGCTTAATCCCGTTTACCACAAACCAAACTGTACCAAATTTAGTACCATTAGTACAGTTCGCGACCTTGGTACACATTTCCAAAACAATCTCTATATTTCAAACTTACTTTCCATCGATTCTCATAACAAATTTCATGTTTTTACATCCGTTCGCAAAATACCAAAGGACCATTTCAGACCTTTCGCAATCTTAAAGTTCGAATTTCTAAACACCATTTGGTGCATCTATCCTGTTTGCCACGAGGGACTCTCATTCCAAATTCTGAATTCCAGTTTTTCCCATACAAAGTATAAAATTTTTAGTGCATTTTGGCCCTTTTTTACCCTCCACCATAGTCTGGAGGGTATATTAAGTATGTCATTCCGTTTGTAACACCTCGAAATATACATTTTAGACCACACAAAGTATATATATTCTTGATGTCGATTTATCAATGTCCGTCCGCCTATCCGTCTGTGGAAATCACTCTAGCTTTCGAACGAAATGAAGTAGGTTCATAAAATTTTACTCCAATGTGTATTATGTCTGCTGGATTTTTGGTATTGAAAATAGGCTATGTAGGTCCATGTCTTCGTATAGCCCCCATATAACGGTACCCCTCGATATTCGGTATTTTGATGATTTTAGCGGCATTATTTACCGAAATTGTTTCGAATTTGGTATTTGAAGTTCGTAATGAATAGTACACCCTAAGACAGAAATTGTCTGTGCAGGTCCAGGTCTTCGTATGGGCCCCATATAGGTCAGTAGCTCCGTATATTCGGTATTTTAATGATTTTAGCGACATTTTCCATCGGAATTGTTTCAAATTTGGCGTTTGAAGTTCGCAATGGATACTGCAGCCTAAGACAGAAAATTATCTGTGCAGGTCCACGTCTTCGGACTGCAGGTCCCCATATATCGGTACCCCCGATATTCGGTATTTGGATGATTTTTGCGACATTATTTACCTGAATTATTTCAAATTTGGTATTTGAAGTTCGTAATGGATATTACAGTCTATGCCAGAAAATTGTCTGTGCAGGTCCACGTATAGTACCACCCTATATTCGGTATTTTATTTATTTTAGCTACGTTATAAACAGATTTTTTCAAGTTTAGCATTTGAATATTATAATAGCTTATGACAAAAGTTGTCTATGCAGGTCCACGTCGTCGTATAGACCCTAATTCGGTATTTTTAAGATTTAGCCAGAATTTTTAATGGATTTTATTTTTTTGAAAATTTCCAAATTTGTACCAAATAGTGGAGGTTATTCAAAGTTCGGCCCGGCCGAACTCACAAATTTTTTACTTGTTCGTCTTAGCGTTGATTCTCGGCCAATCAGGCAGTTTTTTCAATACTCTTTTATACATACGTATAGATGTGCGTAAAAAAATGTACACATGGCAATGCTAACAGAGTACCACAGCATTTTCCAAACTTAGCAAGATTGAGAATTACCTTTTTCTGTTGCATATTTACAGGTAGCCAGTGAAGGCATTAAATAGGTAAAGATAATATAAGATTCACACCAACCAGTGTGGATAAAGATAAGCACAGGCTAAAATCAGATATATTAGATATTTAAAAAATTAATAAAAGAAATTTAGACAGTATTTTTCCAATTAAAACAATAAAATGAATATCAAATCAAAAAATGATGAAAGAATATTCTACCTCAAATTTATTAAGAAAAAAGTATGCAATTATTTTCCTGCCCCATTTAAGGGTACAGCTCAAATTCCTACTATACTCTTTATACCATTATTCTATTCATAGCTCCTCTAAGCTCAGAAAACTCTTCCGGCAATCCAAATACAAAGCAAAAAATGTCGTGTCTTTATGAATGCCTCTAAAACACAAGAGGTAACTGCGATTTACGATATTCAATTCTAAAGCCTATTAGACCATTGTTCACGTTTTTTTTTTTTTTGTTTTCTTTATTGAATTCCAGTTATGTTTAAAATAAAAATCTCTTTGAAAATTTAATGCAATTTGTAATGAAATGTGTTTGCAATTTTGCGAAACGCCATATGACACATTCTACGAAACACGCAATCTCAGATGGGCTTGAGAAAGTCCACCGACGATGAGTAATGGCAGCATTAAAGACTCCAGCCGATGATGGTGGCTTTTGTTTTTGTGTTTTTTGTTTTGCGGTTAAATATGAATGGAGATGGGGGAGCGATATTGAAATGAAATTATTAAAGTGACAGAGCCGCACATAAAAGGTTATCACGGCTAAAGATTTTGTTTATTTATTGATCGAAAAGTCACCCACAAGCTTGCGGGAACACCTGGATAACAGGCAATTAGAATTCGTTCATTCAGTTACGGTTGGGCGCTTCAACATCAGCAAACGTTTTTCTGACGACATGTTGCGTTCGTATCAAATTTGTATCCTTGGCATTTTTGTGATTGCCTCAGTTGCAACGGCAGCTTCGTTAATTCACATTCCCGCGGCTCCAGCATTTACAAATCTTATTCCTAGCCTATTTGGATCTACTGTTCCACGAACAACGTACTACTTCCCACAACAACCAACCCTTCATCAGCAACCTGGTCAACAGTATCCTGTCATATATTATCCCAATTATCAATGGACCTATAATACCGTGCCACAGACACCCACCACTGTATATCGTCCATCGACAGGACATGTACCTCAGATACCCCCCTCTGCTGGCAGTGATTCAGAAGGAGAAGAGAATGATTTGAAGAAACAAGTTGAAATTTTGTTTTAAATTAAATCGCATGTGAAAGTTTAAGGATTAAATAAAATATAAGAAAAAAAAATAAAGAAAAAACAAGTAAAAAATGTAATTTCGGCCAGGTCGAACTTTGAATACCCTCTACCATTTGGAACTAATTTGGCAATTTTCAAAAAAAAATCTGTTAAAATCTTAAAAATACCGAAAGTAGGTCTATACGACGACGTGGACCTGCATAGGCAACTATTGTCATAAGCCTTTACAATATTCAAATGCGAAACTTGAAAAAAAAAATCGGTAAATAATGTAGCTAAAATCATCAAAATAACGAGTATAGGGAGGTATTATTATATGGGGGCTATACGAAGACGTGGACAGACAATTTTTTGACTTATACTGTAGTATTCATTACGAACTTTACATACCAAATTTGAAACAATTCCGATGAATAATGTCGTTTAAATCATCAAAATACCGAATATCGGGAGGTACCGTTATATGGGGGCTATACGAAGACGAGGACCTGCACAGACAAATTTCATATCAATTACGAAAATCATATCCATTACGAACTTTAAATACCAAAGTTGAAACAATTCCGGTAAATAATGTCGCTAAAATCAACAAAATACCGAATATCGGGTGGTGCCGTTATATGGGGACTATACGAAGACGTGGACCTACATGGCCCATTTTCAATACCAAAACTCCTGCAGACATAATATACATTTGAGTAAAATTTTATCAACCTACTTCATTTCATTCGGAAGCTAGAGTGATTTCCACAGAAGGATATACGGACAGACGGACGCTAATCGACATAGAATTTCATGCTGATCAAGAATATAT